CTGCAAGACAACAGTACAATCAAACCCAAGGTTTGACGTGTTTGGACAAGTAGTGGGTGATTTCCTGATGTTTTATGCTGCGCTTCGAAGCTAGAATATAAAAATGTTCTCAAATGTTTTTCAGCAGTCTTCAATAATCAAGTTTAGGCCTATCTGTTTAACCTTTCTCTAACAGGCATTCTGGAATCATTTTAGTTCCACTTAGTGGAATTAGTTCAGGCTTAGATTTTAATCATGGAAATAAAAAAAAAATAAAAAAACACACACACATTGCAGTTACTGTTGTACACCATAGTGTATCAAATAATGCGTTTATGACACTAATACCTACTTGCTCAAACCCAACCCATGTTACCTCTCCTATAAACGGGTACAGATAGGTATTGCTCCTGCGAAAACTAAAATATATTTTCATTTGCATAACATAAAAAGGAAACCAACCAAACATTTTAAAGATTTTTTTATTCAAGAACATTTAGATCAACCACTGAAGTCAGAAAAAAAAATTCAACTCCCCCTTACAGAAACATAACTTAACTTGTTTTTTTTTTCCCAATCAAACAACTAGATTTACATGGTACATGTTGTGGGGGTCTACCAAACTTTTGACCTAATAACACTAAATTTATGTGGCATTATAACTGACTAGATCTTACGTTGACAAACACAGCTTCAAATTATTTTGTCAGCAACTGTTTTATTAGTCAAACATGAAAATACAGGAAGATAAAAGGCAAAATTCCCATTTTCCTGTAAGATTTTACTACCTTTTAGCTGCCTTATGTTCAATATTAATATTCAAAACCCAACTTGAAAATATCTATTTATCAGCAGTTTGAAAAAACAAAACAGATTAGACAAACTAAAATGCCACGCCTACATGATATGGACGGTAATCGTTTTAAAGTTGAAAAAGAAAAAGGATATGAATGTGAAAACAAAGTCTTGTTACATTGAGTGCAAGCCCAGAACAAACCTATAAATGACATATTTGTAATATAAAACTTGGTAAAAAATACTTATTTAAAACTGTACAATCACCAAGTACACAGAGTGAGACATCTTCAACCATCATTTATTTGGCCTCAGTGGCTTCAGCCTTTGGCTCCTGAGGAAAAGAAAAAACAACAGGATTGATATTACCTGTAACAAACTGAGATGGAAATTACTGGAAACAAAAACATACCTCAGCCTTGGTGTTGCCATTCTCAGCTGGCTTGGCCTTCTTTGCTTTGGGTGCCTTCTACACAATAAAGAAGCAAAGAATAAATAAAATGTACAAATGTACAATCAATGCAGAATATTCAAACTTAAAACATGCTAAATCTAAGAATGTTTATCAGCATCTTCACTAGATCTACCTTCTATAAAAATGCTTACCTTTGGAGCTGCTTTTTTCTTAGTCTCCACTGGGGCTGCCTTAGGTTTCTGGATAAAAAATATAATTAATTAGACTTGACACTGGGGCAAACTAATGTATAACTCAGTAAATACACATCAGAACACTCCGATTGTTCTTTTTTTTGTTCAAACAAAAGAAAATATAAACTGTTTAACTATTCTAAAAAGATTAATTTATATAGAAGGCTTAATTGGAAAGAAAACAAATAATCGAGGCTGAAAGGTAATTTAAAATAGAACCTTACCAGTGCCAGTCTTGGGGAGGTTCTTCTTTGCTATAGGTAAATGATGAAATATATAAGAATGTCTATATATCACACTTCATTAATGTACATTCAAAACACAAACAAGACTCATTTAGCAGGTAAAAAGAATAATGAAACACTTTATTAGAATAAAATAAAAGATTAGAATTTTATGACAAACCTCAGGAGGGACAGTTTGCTGCAACAGAGAAGAGAAAATTTTGCATTAAAACAACAAAATACTAAAAATGGATGATTTTTAATAGTGCATCAGCTTCCGTATCAAAGAAAAACCTAACAGCAAACAATGAACTTGATCGGAGCCTGTGAACTTGAAAGCCATACAGAGCTTCCCGCGCATTTTTGAATTCAAATCGGGGCTGTCCTGTCACCATGACAGCGCTTTGGCGCCCTGACAGCTTCCTTTGTTTTGTATCAGTGCGCGCCTACAGACAGCTGCAGGGGGAAACTGATAAGATTACTACGTTAGTAACCTGGAACTAGAAAATAACAAAAAAGCAATCTATACAAGCTAAACGCTAAGCACTAAAATAGTTTTGATATTTCTGTGTTAAAAAAAAACGCATTTCATAGTTATTTTTAGCAGTTATTAACATACTATGACGATTATATTTTTTTTTTTGGTAAAACCAAAAAATTCTACACTTTAGTTAAAAATCTCCAAACTACATATTTAAATAGAATATAGATGCATATGTGATGTTTTTGTTTGTGTTTATGTCGCTACTTGGGGAAATGACTAATGCGCATTGTCTAATACAAAGGGCGCAATTGAAGGAAGGCTGCTACGCATTGATGATCGACCCCAAACTAAAGAGTGAAATTTGAAAACAGTGCAAAACTGCATACAGGATAAGGAGCCATTTTTTCCCCCTCTTTTTAATCTGTGGTAGATTTATCATTTTCACCTACCATCCCCCACTCCTTCCTCAAATTTGCAGGTTGCAAACCCGTAAAAGCAAATTAAATCTAAAACAAGACAAAAACTCATATTTGCAAAATATATATATTTTTAAATCTTGTCGTAATTAGAAAAAAATAGTTGAGCTGTTTGCATGAAAAGTTGTTCTTTGGGTGCAACCTGTCATTTTTTTTTTTTTGCCCAGCCTACCGCCACAGAGAGGGAAAAGACAGACGGTGACAGGATTTAATCAGCAACAACCCAATGTCATAGGAGACTCTAGCCCCAAGCCTAACTGCACCGAAAAATATCATATCTACAATATCTGAGGGGTTCAAATCCACTGATAAATATTTTAAGCTTTTGTTCGAGGAGCAAGGCTTCAATTTTCGACGAATAAGACGATGCTTGAACAGGTCTCTGCTGCCTGTCCGCCATTGCTCTAACGTTTGTTAGAGATGATGACGTTCCTCTGATGCAGAGAAAATAAATGCAGCCCAACATTAACCTCAACACCGACACGAATCCCACAAGATGACTAAAAAAATCAATTTAAATTAAAATAAAAATAGTACCTTTGCTTTTCCCATCTTTATGGCTGGAAATCAAAAGAAGGCTGAAAAAAACTGCCCCAAAAAAGAAGTCTTTTTTTCGAAGAGATGTCTCACGGCGACCCAACAGTCTCTGTGTAAAATGGCGAATGTATAATAGAAACGAATGTTTTTGTAGTTTATACAGTGAAATATAAGAACGAAACCGGTTTGAACCGGTTTTCTATTTCGGGGTTCCTCATTGGACGGAAACGCCACACGTGGGTCCTGGCACCTCCCATTTGTTAAAGAGGCAGGAAGCGAACTGCTGGGATTCTGAGCTCTGCCTCAGGGGGGCGCTGTGTTCACGGTTTCTGAACGAAATGACGTCTTATTGGAAAAAACAAACGCAAAGTGATAATGGCGGTCCCTCCGCTCTGTAATACCATTTTGGGTTTGACAAATGGTTTCATATTCGTTGGTGTACTCTAACCACTAATTAAGACTTCAATGCATTGCATAGATATTGTATTGCATATCCCATAAGAGAGCAACACAAGGTAGTGCATAATTTAAAGTAATAGGGGGAAAAACTATTTAAAAAAAAAATAGTATCTGCAAATGCAGAAACTACTTGTTTAGATGTGTCTCATAGCATTTCGAATTAAGACACACATTTAACCTAATATAGTAGATGTACTCTATTGTAAGAGGACAATCTGTCCCAGTCTTTAGTCTCTTGCAGCCTCCAACAGGTCTTCTTTCATATTCCCTATATTCCACAAGAATTATCGCTCTATCCTGACCATCTTTCCCGTACCTGCTGAAGACAAATATCCAAACAGCTTGATGCCACCTGTGTTGTGTATATGGAGTGAATAATATGCTGATTATGTGTTTAAACCAAACAGATGATCCTATCCTTCTTTTTGCACTCTAGATTTATGCAGTACTTTGTATTGATCCATCAATAATCTTAGCAGGGGTGGACAGAGTACCTAAAAGGTTTACTTAAACAAGAACAGCTACTTCTTATATATTTTTACTCAAAATAAAAAGTCGTCATCCAAAAATCTCAACAGTAAAAAAGTAGTTGGTAAAATGGCTACTCAAGTAGTAATCATTGACTTGTAAAATCAGATTTAATATGTATGTAATCAGACAATAATGTGCAAATTCTAGTGTTTTCACATGAATCCTAACAGTAGGTAATACATATATGTTAGGAAAGGATTAGAAATTCAAGCTAAAATATTTGCTTACTGTATTTTCACCTGATGTCCAAACAGTTCAAATAACTCATGGTGGGATGAGTAAACAAAAGAGAGTAGCCATACCGAAGAATATGGAGTAAAAGTGGAAACTGTAAAGATATACCTATCAATATTAGATGCCTAGCATTCAATGAATTGGGTGTACAAAAAATTTCGTTTATAAATAATCCATAAAGTATTTCAGTTTATTTGGATACATTCTGTGCACATTTCTTTATTCAGCACCTTAAATTGTGAAATTGGATTTACAGTTTTGAACTTTACTAAATGAAGTTAAGCAAGAAAAGTAAAATGTTAGTTTGTCATTTGGCTCTTGGATCGAGTAATTTAGTCTGGTTATTGAAATTTGGTTAAAAAACGTAAGCGTTTTCCTTTTTCCCTTTTTTTTTTAAAGGGCTGATAGTGTTGTCAAGATTTCCAACTAATTTTAAAGACTAAATGTATCATTTAAGCCCTACATCGTGCTAAAAGCTCTACCTACTAAGCTCTGCAAAAAGTTATTACACAAAATATTAACCAAAACTGGATTTCTTTTTGGTAATAATATAATGGGATTACTATACCAGACAGGAAAACAGTAAAATCTTTTTAAAACCCCTCAAAAAAATAAAAGAACAATTTTCTGATATATAGTTCTCAATTTATTGTTTGAGAAAGCTGGTCAAAATATAGACGTCTTTAAAAAAAACACTCGACAAACAAAATTTTCAGCAACAACAAACAGAACTGCATTAGTTACTGGAGGAAAACTGTGTTGGAAACCCTTCCTGAACACAGGCTGCGTGGCTTTCATTCACCAATGACTTTTCAATCGACATGCACGTCACAGATAATTTGCACAATCAACTTACAAAATCTTGACCAGTTTTTTCATTTTATTTTGCAAATCTACAATCATAAATATATATCAATTAGTCTACAGCCCCATAGGGGTAAACATTGTCCTCTTGTTGTTTTATATAAATCAGCAACAAAATAAAACCATCTCCAGTCACTGTGTGCTCCTTCCTGTTCCTTAGAAGCACTTGTAGGAAAACAACTGGAAGGGTTTTAATCCTACTTCACCTTTAGGTTAGTTCTTCTGTCATTTTTTCTAAGTTGAGACAGTTTCACTGCATAAGTTAGTAAAGAAAGAGTCTCTCTTGTGCTTCAGTGCTTCCAGGAAGTCCTGAACTCGTGCTTCCCGAGCTACAGTGTAGTGCTGCAGTGCCTCTTGTCTTCTTTGGGCATCGGCTGGCTTTCCGTTCCCATGATGCGGAAGTTGCTCCGCTACGCAGGCACAATCTGCCTCCAGCTGCTGGAGGACCTGTTCCTCTCGATGGAGATCTCTGGCTTTCTGCAATGCAACACAAACGGAAAAGCTTGGGATATAATAGACAGCATTTTCCATAATGATCAGGTAAAAATCCCTGGGTAAGTAGTAGGTTATTCACCCTCATTCTCATAGCTAGCAGCATTTATTTAAAAATTATTTATCTTTTATTCTCATTTCTCAACCAGTTAGAATGGAATAAAAACATTTCAGTACCTAAGTTTTGACTGAAAATATCTTTAAAACAGCCTTTTATTTTACAACTAAAACATATTCTAGCAGACTGCCACCTCAGTAATTCAGCACTTTATTACAGGAAAATAAGCCTGTAGCCTATTTTCCTGAATTTACTTCAGGTCGGACGTTCTAGCGCGGTTTCTGTGGATGTGACGTGAAGCGTAGCGTGTCCATGTTAAATGTTTCCGACCTAGCAAACAATCAAAGCTTTATATTAAACATGGATTTTGTGGATACTAAGAAGGGCCTGGCATCCAGCTAAAATCTTACACCAATGGAAACTCCACATAACGAGCAGAAGAGTAATGCACTTCTGTTTCGGCCAGCGATAGCAGTATCATGGTTGGCCTAGTGGTTAGAGAAGTGCACTTGTGCTCTAAGAAGGTTGCAAGTATCCGGTTTGATCCTTGCAGCCTGTACTCTGGGTCCCTGAGCAAGACCCTTAACACCACACTGCTCCCTGGGCGCCAAACAATGGCAGCCCACTGCTCCGGAAGGGGATGGGTTAAATGCAGAGGTGAATTTCGCCAGTGTGAGATCAAAGTTCAATTATTATCATTAGAAAACTCCATAATGCCTCTTTAATTCAGTAATTAAGCACAAATAGATCAATTACACTCAGAAAAGTGTTTAGGATTTTAAGAGAACTTTCCACATATAGATTATGGAAACATTCTCTTTCTTAGATTTAAAATATTACATCAGCTCACTGAAAAATATTTAACACAGAAATAGGTGCCTAATGATATTTATGTTTATACCAGCCTAGAAGCTGCACATTTTAAAAGGTAGTTTTAGTCAGACAAAGGGTCCTCATCAAAACATGTAATCCATTTCGTGTGCCTAAATGTCATAGTTTGAGCTGAATAACAGCTTTCCATCAAAGATGGATTTGCTACATATTCACAGTCGGGGTTGGGGATGATGACAGTCTTCATGGACAAACTTAAAAATGTAAAAATAAACTGCAGAAATGTCCGTTGCAAATGAAATATCCTGCCGTTTAAGAACATTTTGTTTGATGCCATAAACAACTAATTTGTTATAACCGATCTGTATAAAAATGGTCAAGAAGGAACTTAAAAAAATAAATAAATAAAAAAGGAATGGAAGCACAACAAAAATCTGGTTTCTTGTATAGACCGGGGGTCCGTGCAGAGCCCTGCGTGAATGTCACTGTGTAATTAAATGAGCCATTTGATCAGTGTTATTCAATAGTTACTATTGGCAACTGAGCAAAACGGCATGTTTAACGTGATGTGTTGGTGAGTGAGGAGTCAGATAAACACGTTTGGTAGCTACAGCAGCTGTGTGAAAAAAATCTAAGTATTAAAAATGGTAACAGAGTCTGTGATATGGATCATTTAACAATTACGGGTATGCTACCAAAGATGGTAAGAATTTTAGCATTTTGCGCCGAACTTAATATCTCAACTTTACAGATACATTTACAGAATTAATTACGGTATGTTTAAACACCTGCAGGGGAATTCAAACAGTTAGAGCTAATTACCAGGGACAACAATAGTCAACAGCTGTAATTACTTAAAAAAAAAAAAAAAGAAAAGCCAAAAATCTGGATAATCTTCCCACCAAATTGCTCAGCAACATAATCTTATATCATTTTTAGACATTTTCTGATTGCTTAATAGAAATATGGACTCTATGGTTTCACACTATGGCATCAAACCACATCCATTTCTTGCCCTTATCAAATTTATAATTAATTAATATGGCCCCACTAATGATTTTTAATATATATTTTATCTTATATATATACACTATGAAATTCAGGTTATACATATTTCTGTTTCTGTACTACAGTGCACTCAGCTACATTCTGATGAAGAGGAATGATGAAGGTCCAGCAGGAGCACTGCACATTAATCCAAGATCAATGCTCTAGGGCAGGGGTCACCAACGCGGTGCCCGCGGGGGCCCTCAAGGACCACATGGAATAGCCTCAGAGTCTTCTTAAAATAGAACAACACGCCAGCGGGCTAAGTTTGATATTTTATTCTTTTGTTATCATTTATAGAGAATTTCAAAATGACAATGTCAAATTCTGACCCTTGCAATTCACAGGTCAGTATTGGTAGCCTTTCCTATGACTCAGTACGCTTGAAGTGTCCTTCAGCCTTAAAATGGTCGGTCACCCCCGCTCTAGGGAGTCTGACTGGCTGATAAACCAGTCACGTTTTAGGTCAGGGAACATTGGTATCCCTGAAAACACCTTTTTCTATTTCTTACATTTTTTAAAGTTCTCCAGCAGAGCAGCATCCATCGTGCAGCATTGCACTCAGGTGTCACATCGTATTAAAAATGTTTACACCTTCCAAAGAGGAAGTCAATGTGTAAAATCACCCTGTGGATCACTGAGGAAGCGGATGTGATGCTGGGAAATCGTTTAAAAGTTTATGGTTCATCAGTTTGAACACTGATTACACTGATATACTATATACTTCTGATGATGACATCCATCTATGATGGTTTTAAATGAAGGGAAACTGAAAAGCTAAGATAACCTGAACTGGCTTCGGTTCTCCACCTGTTCATCTTAGTTTCCCCCTTCCTCCAGAATGTAAATAAGTCTGGATAAGGGTTGGCATGAGGGACCCCAAGGTTCCCATGGATCAAAAACATTGCATTTAAAGTAGCATGCAGACGTTTCAGGCCTAGTTTTATATGCACACAAACTTTATAAAACGGAGTCTTGGATCTTATGAAGAAGTTTGGAAAACAGATTTAGATTATTTTTACCAGAAAGATGTTTTCCACACAGAACTTTATTAATAGATGAGATGATTATTATTTCATAGCGGAATAATAAATAAACACCTACTAAGAATCTCCAGCTTCTATCAAATATTATTACTCTGAACCTAGTTCTATAGCTCAGGGAGACACCACAGAGATATGGCCTTGTTGTTGTTGCGATTGGCTGCGCACACTATTATAGCTTTGTCTTCATCAATGCAGTTTAAATGTGGATAATCCCCGATTAATTGATCAGCTGACTGGCAAGACACACAGAAGCAGCCAGAATGCGAGTCTTGGAGACAGCTGGGATTTTAATTCAGACCTGATCATTAGAAGTGTCTGCTGTTCCAGCAGCAAGCTGAAGAACATTCAGCCTTCTAACCGAAAAAGTGGCGAGTTGGTTTAAAAAACAATAATCCTGATGCTGTGGTGCATGTCTAACGCAGTTATGGAAATGGTAAAGGGAAACATCAGAGTGCAATGTGACAGATGTTGCCCCACGTTCATCTGCTGTTTGATCCAAAGTTCTGAGATACTACATCAACATCACTCCAAGGAGAGATAAGAAATGAAAACACTTTTTAATTGTTTTAAAAACTCTTCAATCTTCCAAAACATCTTTCTTTTGTTTCTTTTGCCGTTTCTCATTTCTCATCAGGTCAAAAACAAATTGGGCCAACATAGGAAATTACCTGGATGGATTTATGATTTAACTGATACTGGATAATAGCTTCACACAGGTTCCAAAAGGAGTATTCAGGCCACAGAACCGACTGAAACACTAGGCAGGAATGGGATGTCTGGAGAAAAGGAAAGAAAAAAAAAGGTTCATCAGTTTATGCTTTCTAATCTTCAAATATAAGATTATCAAGTTTCAAACAGAAGTCAGACAACTCAGTTTACATGCAGACAGTATAAGTTTAAAATACAGTTCAAATGTACATCAAATGTCATAAAAACTAAAATTGGTTGCAACATTTTGACATGATGGCTGATTTTCTCTAATCAATGCAGGTTCATATGGTCTCCTTGATAACACTTTTTGAAGCAATCAAGCTTTAACCCCATTTATAACTGTCTGTTTTAACTCTAACACCCAGTTTTAGTCATCTGACTTCCCATTACTCTCAGAAAAAAATACATTTTTCATATCAATCCAGGAACCTAAAGGCTGAATTCTATTTTAGAATATACTAGATTAACTGTTTGGACAAAGGAACGTGAAAGAAAATGAAGAGTCAAAATAAGGTTTTAAATCCTAAGAGCTTTGTACCAACTGGGAGGAGGATGCTGGTAGCACGAGGCTCTTTTGGATGATAAGAATTTTTACAAATATTGTTTAAGAAAAGGCCTAATTGGTAAGCTTTACAGAAATTTCATATCGATGAGAAAGAGGTGAAGACTTAAAAGACAGTGATAGGAAAAGGAACAAAGCCTTTAATATCAAAGACGACGCTAAAGCAACATGTCCTTTACTACAAATTCTTATTTGGCCAGAGGAATCTAATCAGATGTTTTATTACTCCAAAGCAAAAACTGAGGTTAGGTGGTACAGAGTTCTCTAACTGAATGGAGTGTGAACGGTCTCTGCTTTTATGTCTTCTGGTCCTGTCTGAGGTTGAAGATGTTTTAGAAAGATGTTGAGTAATTTTAGCAATAAACTTTTCCTTTATCTCTTTGTACTTCAGATAATTCCCTGAAGGACTCGGTACAAGTGACACATAAATACTGCAGATTTTTATGATTGCAAGCAAGGAGGCAATCACCAAATGTTAGCTCCAGTCAAGCTCCCTGCCAAAGCTCTTCACAAAGATCCTAAATCACCAAATGGAGACATCTGACTTTTTCCACTACGTCTCCAATAGGAGAAAGGATGGAGACTCTGAGAAGACTGGGATCATCACTTAAAGACTCAAAATATTCACGTTTTGTGGATCAAATCTATCAGCTTTACAGAGGGGTTAGTATCTCGCTCCTGGGTTCTTTTGTTGTGATGCAAGTCACAATATTGATGTAATTTGTGTGAACCTTTACCCGTTTGTTCCTGGTTAAAAACTAAAAATAAAGTTAAAAGAAAAAGAAAATTGTTGTTGAACAGATCAAATTAAGCCTCTGGAAAAACCTTTTCAAAACCACTATACATTTATAGATTAAACCTGGAAACCACCTGAGGTTTTTACCAACAGGTATAAAGAACAATACCATTTACAGGAGTAAATGTATATAGATATGAGAGGAGATTGAACTTTTATTGTAAAGAAAACAAGAAGTTCACAATAAATCAAACTTGTACATCAACCCTATTCATTTTTTAATACCTTGAAGTTATATATTAACTTATAATGTTTTAAAGGTGTCTTTAAAAGTCCTAAATCAAAGCTAATATTTACATCATTAATGACTTCTTAGCAGCACTGCAGGCCTTGGGACTGTTCCAGTTTGTTAAAAAGTGTTTTTCCGTTTTATGTTTGGTTTTAATTAAAAGAACCTGAAATACATGCCTAAATTCAATAGTTATTTTTCAATGCAGGAGCAGTAATATAAAAAGGATATTTCCCGCACATTTATCATGTTCTTTTCACTCTTTTCCAAACCCCCAATGGATAATAATCAGTATTGCTCCATACCTGCCAAAGCAGGAAGTCGCTGAGGCGCACCTCTCCTGAGGTACGGATGAGCAAATCAGGATTGGGAGAGTTATTGCTGTACAGGCACTCGCTTAGCAACGTCTCAGAAACGTCACTGAGTATGACAGAAAGACAAGCAGCTTGTTAAAGCCCCAGCTCCCCGGATTATCTTCCCGATGCTATTTAACATGCAGTATTGACAAGATTAACCCGCAAGTGTCCTGTGAATTGCTGACCTTGCTTTGATCAGTCCCTGCTCCACTCCCCAGGCCATCTCCCTCACAGCGTTGGTGATTTCATATCTTGATGTGTAGGCAAAACACACGTTGAGAAAGCATCTGCAAAACAAACATTTGTTTTGTTTAGTCTCTATTTAGGTTTAGATGAAGTTATTTAATAATGCATAAGGAAGCATAAATAAATGAACATACTTATTGTGGTTCTTTGTCATGATCACAGCTTTGGCAATAACCTGTTGAAGGTCCAACGGCAACATATTCAAGTCCCCCAGCACTCGGATACAAACGCCGTGTTTTTCCAGATTTTCCCTATAAGATAGAACAGAGATGCATTCATATGAGGGAGGGATTTTAAAAAATGAAGCAGAAAATAACATTAGAGGACAAAACAACTTAATTTATTCAGGTTGGATGAGACATTTTCCACAGTCACTAAAACTTTTTTAATAATATGATAGTAAACTAAAGCAGGAGACTAGATAGACTAGGTGGTCAATCCATATAATAGATCATTGCATAAATATTTATTTATGTGACTTGTCCTTTCATAGCTCAGTGTGACATTAGTTTATCCCTTTGTTTTTCGATGTCTATTCATATGAGCTCTCTATGAGAGACCACCGGGCGCAAAAATTTAGTTTCATTTATTTTCATTGTTTGTTGTGATACATTTTTGATGTGATTATTTTTACAATCCTGTTTCAAGGCAAAAAGCTTAAATGTTGTTGCCCTTTAAAATAAGGTCACCTCCCAGAGGGAATGGTTGAAAACAAAACTTGTTCAAAGTAATAAATGGCATCTATTATTTTCAATATGCAACTAAGGGAGAAAAAAACAGCCCCGAGTAGATCTATTAACGACATTGGGTTAAAACAATGTCCGTCTGCTGACTGCACCTGGTGCAAAAATTATTTTTAGGCCTAAAAAGGAATAAGAAAACACACTCTCTGAATGTCGTTTCTTTCCACATCCATTTACTGGTTCCCTTATAGAGGGGTCGCTTTGTAATCTGAAGATGCATTTACTAAAACAATAGTCCGAAAATAATTCTACACGCCTTGTTTTGCTTTCAGTTTTGTGTATTTTAATCCATGCTTAAGAGTCTTTATTTTATTACCGTATGTTTTTTTTTTTTGATATTTTTTATTGACTGTGGCACTTTGAGATTTACCGTATTTCAAATGTAAAGTGAATAACAAATACAATCTATAATGTTAATTATTTTAAACCAAAGTATTTATGCTGTATTTAAATGCATAACTTAAAATTTACATTGCAGTTAGTATAACAGCCAGTGACTGAGAAACAAGCTGGTGAGTGATTTTCAGCATGGAAGGCTGATATGAGGAACAAACACACTTCAGTATAGATGTAGTTTCTAAGCAAACAGAACTTAAGGTTTGCTAACATCAGAATCTGAACTAGGGCTGAAACAATTAATCATGATTAATCGATTATTGAAATAATCATCAACTAATTTAGTTATCAATTAATCGTTAACTACAGAGTATAGAGACTCTAAAACATGCCTTTAGCTGATAGAGCGGCCAAATTAGAGCAGAAATTATATAAAAATAATATCCAATTATAAATCGAAAAAAATTATCGACAGATTAATCAATTTGCTAAATAATCGTTAGTTGCAACCGTAATCTGAGCGGTCCTTAAATTCAAGTCAGACTTGCAAAAATATGCAAGACGTTACCTCAAAAAAAACAAAACAAAAAACACTATTTCGTACGACATGTTGAGGCAAGTCAGGCTAATACAGCAAAACCTGATACAGCAGGAAGGCTGAAAAGACCGCAGCTGATTTAAAGTTTTAGAACAGAAACAGGCTGGAATGTTGGCAGTCTGGAAAAACCGAAGTTAGGGGAAAGATTGACGATATCTAGCAAATATATTCCAGGTTCCACCTAAAACCCAACTACACTGATCTCTAATATAAAACACTTAAACCCTGCTTTTAAAGTGACAACTATGTCACTTAGTCGGCTTTTCAGTTATTTGCTGACAAGTTAGAAAAATTTTCCAGATGCTGTTTCTCAAACAGTATATGCATCAAATTTTCAAAATTAGGTTGAAAATTTGTTTGTTGATTTTATGTCAAGAACCATAATGTGCCTGTGAGGATTATGTTTTTAATTTGCGATTTATATGGAGAACAAATATTTTAACAAATAATTCCTGTGCTTTTCTCATCTTTTTCTTTATGTCCAATAAAACATTATTAAACGTAACAGAGAGTGGTGACTTAAAGGTAAAGTTCTATTTCCCAGTGGGGTCATCAAAATAAGTAGTCCTCCTAATAGTCAATCATTCTGGTGATGTGTTTGTATAAGGCCGTCCTACGTGCTTGTCCCCATTTTCACTTACCTGTGGTGAGTCTGCCAGTGGAAAAATGCAAATCTTCTTTTGGAAAGTAAGCTTGTATGAGCGATGCAAACAGCAACTTTTAAATGGAGCGTGCACGAGGAAAAATGGGCCCGTGCATGCTCTCACATGGGTTTAATAGGTGTTCCCTCATGAGAGAGAGTACAGGGTTGTGCATGTGAATTAATTAAAATTTTTTTTCATAAGTATAGAGGGCGGGATTTTTCAAAAATTTGCGAAAATCCTCCAGTATACTTTTAACTTAATCACATTAATTTTCTACTGAAACTATGCTGATTAGGGAAAACATTGTTTAATGAGAGTAAAAAAAAAAAAAAAAACTATTTCATAGAATCTGGGGTACTGCTATGTTGTGGAAATAGGACCCAGTGCCTCTCCCCTCTCTAGTAACTCACTTTCCTTTCTGAAGGCCACTAAATCTTAAAAATAATAATAAGAAAAAGAAACCTACAAAAATACTTAAATATCTTGGATCATTCGATGCAATTATAAATTAAAGAGTCCCTAACAAAATAAAATGATACAGAAGAAGTATGTCAACAAGAATTGTAAAGACGGATATCGAGGTTTGCTTTCTGAAAAGAGTAAAACAAGAAATAAGAAAAGGATCTTGTGTGCCATCTGCATTGAATCACAGCCACACAAATTGTTAAGCCCACATTCTGGCATTTTGCAATAGCACAAGAGTCGGTATGTTTGTGAACGACAGCAGCAGCTCCCACGTTCAGTCAAGCCGTATTTGTCCTGGTCATCCTGACATCGCGCCACAGTTTATCTAACGCTCACAGCAGGAGAGAGTATCTGGCTTCACCAGAGAAACATTTTCATCCAAACCGCCCATTTCTGCTATTTCAACTTGAAAAGCATTCAGTTAGCATTTGAAGGTATTTAAGGAGAAAATCAGTACACTGGATGACCGCAAAATGAAACAAAAAGAGAAATCTCAGCTGACCTTATGAATTTTAAGGAAGTTATTAGTCACATGATGTACAAGACGTCTGTGTTCTAAACAGCAGAGTGGAAATGTTTAGTTTTTTTTTTTTTTTTTCCTCTCACCGTTCTTCCAGCAGCTTCTCAAACTTCTGCCTGGCCAGCTCCATCAGCCCATCCACCTCTTCTTTAGAGCGCTTGAAGTTCTCAATGCTGAAGGCATAAACGGTCACTTCTGGGATGTTAAGGTGCTTGCACCAACGTAAGGTCTGATTCAGAAAACAGCACAGGCCAAAATTTAAAGCATTTAAGACCAACCTTAGAGATTTTGTACAACACTTTTTTGGATCAAGTGACAATAACTGACCTCTGCCAGCTTGTTGAATCCCTGCATATGGCCATCTTGACGTTCCATGTTTTTCTTGCGTGCAAAACGTCTATTACCGTCCATGATGAAGGCCACGTGTTTAGGCATGGGTCCTGCCTGGTTAGGGGGAAAAAAAGCAGGAGAGTCAAAATTTTATCTAGTATTTTTGGTTGTTTTATACTTTTATACATATACAAAATGAGCCATTTCATGAGGGGAACATTTCAAATGGACTATGAGTCTATTTGTTGCTGCCTTTGAATTGCTTATAATAATAATAATACATTTTATTTAACAGCGCCTTTCTTGACACTCAAGGTCACTTTACAAAAAATACAAAAGATAAATAAAACAAAGATGAGAATACAAAATACAGATACAGGAACACAAAAACAATTATGGATAGGGAAAAGAGCAGTGTATTCACAGATTATTTCAGTTAACTGGTCCAAACTGGGAGTAGAAACAGAAATGATTGAAATTAAATACAAACTCTTCTAAAATAATATATAGTCATTGATGAAGATTCAATATACCGGTATGTAAGTGTTGGCCTAGTGGGTTAGAGCAGTGAGCTTGAGCTCTGAGAAGGTTGCCCACAGCCTGCGCTCTGGGTTCCTGAGCAAGACTATTCCTTTAACCCCTGATTGCTCCCCAGGCGCTGCACAATGGCAGCCCACTGCTCCCCAAGGGGATGGGTCAAAATGCAGAGATTGAATTGCCCCATTGTGTGACAATAAAGGGTTTTACATACAAGATTCATAAGCACAAAGATTTAAATTAACTTTATGTAAAACAAAGGAGGTTATGAGAAGCAAATGGCAGAAGATAGACACAAAATTGGAGAATAAACTGGCAAAAATACAAACTGAAAGAATTACAAAAGAAAAAAAAAAGGTCATCTTTAAAATGTAATAAATTTCAGCAAAAGGGACTTTCTAGATTTTGAAAGGCTTTTACTACCAGACGGAGACATCTGGATGAAACATTTTAGGCTTAACTCCAATAGACATCCCAAGAAGATCTTTATAAAAACGGTTAAATCTTAAGCCCCTATCCATGCACAGATAGAAAGTATCTCTTTGCTTACTTTATAAATGGAAAAAAGGTAAAGAGGTCAATGCTAACAAAAAGAAGGATTTATTTTTCACTTTTAGCCCAGGGCAAAATTTCAAACATATTAACCCATCATTACACACAAGGTTCAAAAGGTCCTTGGGGAGAAGGATTGCACTAAGAATCACTGCAGTAATAGTTAAACTAGACACGATTGCACAGGACTGCAATATGTGCAAAGGCCTGTGAGCCAAATAAACAAAGTTATTGAGTTATTTTGACATTTCAAGAAAAAAAAAACATCTGGAAAAAAAAAGTTACATTTCATTTTAAATTTTGAGTTTTCCTGTTAATCAAACTCATGAAAAGACTGTTTTAAACATACCTTTAGACATGAACTATTACATTAAATTGACAGATTGCTTATCTGAATTATTTATGTCACGTTCTTAGCTTTAACAACCTGATTATTACCATTTTTTAACCAAACTTCTTTCAGTCAAGGGTCACAAGTATCTGCTGCCATGTTATGGATTAGTGACTGAAAACCACAAACCAGTGGTTTGAATTCCTATCTTTTCCTTGGACTAACAGAAGCACACTATGTGTAAAAACAAATATACCATTGTAAGGATACCAGAAGATTATAGATTGATCCTTCTTAGGGTCTCTAACTTGCAGCCATGATGTTGCTGACATGTTTAGGAGCTTTGAATCAGCTATAGCATGTTCATAAATAGGGGAGGATCGTTAACTGAAATGTCTGCAACTTTATACGAAGTTCATTAAGCCTAAAAAGACATGGAAGTTCTTTCAAATTAACATTTTATCCTTATATGTATCCATACAACAAAATATAACATAGCTCATCCAGAAGCATTTCAGAATTATACTGAAGGATCATGTCAAATCAGAGAAACTTATTGCATTTACTGGTAAATACAAAAATGATAAAATATAAGCACACGTACCGTTAGGATATTTGCAGAAATCCTTTCAAGCAGGTTTAATTCACCTTCTCGTATCCACGACATTTTCAGCTTTCAAACGATCTGAAATTTAAAATAAAAAAACGTTTTTCAACAATTGATGAATAAACAAATAACCCCCAAAGTTAAGCTAAAAATACGCTGGTTCAGAGGCTGATATGTGCCCATATTTACTGGGATATTATATTTCATTTGGAGACACTGATTTCATTTCACACCGTAACTGCCAGTGAGGACGTGCAATGATTTCTCTGCACGGAGGCTAAAAAAAAACCCCAAACCGAGACAGAGAAGCTTGAGGAAGGACTCACCGCCGGAGGAAACACCGTCTTTCATTCAAAACTCCCAATAACAAGATGTTCTTCAGTCAAACCTGCGGCTGTTTTATCACATTTCTCTACCCGGAGCCTCCAACTCACAGCTTCTTACGATGACGACCACTTCCGGACTGAAGTTCAATGACGACTTCCTGTCACGCGGTAGGAGATTTTCAAAATACGAGCATCTTTTTCTTCTTCTTCTTTGATATTTTTGGCGGTTGGCAAACAACAGATAGATGCATTTCCGCCATCTACTGGAATGGAGTGTGGACCAGAATGACTCTCAGGAATTACATTCTATTATATAAATGTGTTATTTTTAGATATCGAAATACTATACTGTAAATATTACTATCTGAATAACTACTGAATAATTGAACTAAATCTAATTTAACTTTTACTTTACTCAAATTTTGAATGAATTGCTTTCTCTCCTCCTCATATTTGTTACAGTATAACATCACATGCTCAACTGTTTCATCTACCCCACAATAAGTGGCGGTTCTAGACCAAATGTACTAGGTGGGCCAGGAGGGGGCCAGCGTGTTTTCACGGGGGCACAGAGGAGCATGAAATCAAAAACAGGATAGCTGCATGAAGTGAGACTTCTATTCAATTAAGTTTCATTAAAATTCTAAATGTCTTTTTAGGTGAATATACATTCAGAATTTTGGAATTTTACATATTTATGCCTTAATTTAAGTTGAAATTACAGTTTTGTATAAAATCTGAATTAGAGTTTAAGAAAAACTGTAAAAAATTTGAGTATGTTATTGATTTGTTTTGGAAAAAAACATTTAGCAGATGAAAACAGGGATCATATCTCAATACCACTGAAGCCATCACCTTATTTTTTTTTTTAAATAGTTAATAAAATACAATTTGTAAAGAAAAAAAATGAAATAGATGTAAAGGACATTTTGAGTAACCATGCTTGTTGCAGGGCAGATCATCTTTAGAAATTCTTTCAGTATTATGTTTTCAGTACAGGGGCCATAACAGGGGCCAGGACATTATCTACAGGGGCCCTGGCCCCTGTTGGCCCCTGTCTAGAACCGCCCATGCCGGTATCCATACAAAATTTATAACTAAACCCATCATATTTATTCTATATAGTGTCTGTTGAATTTCTATTAAAATATCTGGCCTGCTTTCTGAGTGACTATACTGCAAACTGATTAAAGATGGTCTAGAGTCTGAACATATGACTGATCTTAATGGCTTAACTTCTTCCGAGCATCTTTTTCTTCTTCTTTCTGTTTTTTTAATGGCGGATGGCAACCAACTTAAGGTGAATTTACCGCCACCTACCAGACTGGAGTGTGGTTATCAATGATGTCAAAGGGATGTTATGAACCCTTTATAGGGCACTCAGTGAAATCCTTTAACATCAACATTTCCACCCAGTAGCGTTATTGGATTCCAGGACAAGACCTTATTACCTTTGTAACATTAAAACAATATGGATATTTTGATAGCAAAAATTAATGTCAATGTAATAACAGGAAACGCAAACCTGCCCGAATATCTTAAGAAAAATAACAAAAGTGCTTCTTTAAGAAATTCATGAAAAACACTCTGAGAGTGAAAGAAACACATTTCTTCACATTTTTTGGTACAACATAACCCTAGAGGCATTAATGCTGATACTGGCACTTCCATTTTTAGTTTATAAACCTAAATATAATTGTTAACTAGGCTAATTAACTTTTTAACTTTACCTTTTAACTTTTTAATTAACTTTTTACCTTTTTTTCTTGGCTTTTTTTCATTCCAACTTAATTTGCAGTAGGTAATATATCATTTAAGGACTCATCTAATTGGTCAAATGCCAAAATAAGATGTACATCCATATAGCAGTATCTTTGTTGAATGGCTGGATATAGATCTTGTGCTTCTAGAACTCACTGAAGTGATCTAAAATGGTAACTTGCCCTATAAAGGGTACATGCCTCAATGGTATGCACAAATCTGCATATTATCTATCAATCAATATAGAAACTCACATATAAATTAGTGTGTGAGTATATGCACATGCATACACACACTTATATTGTTACTTTAAATACGATTATATAATCCAGTGTTTTTAAAAAAATCTAATTAACTGATTTCTAGCAGAATTAGATTTACTTCTTAAAAGGTTTATCATTGAAAATCCAATTTTTTCTCTATTTAGTGTTGACTTTCCTGTGAATATTTATCACATTCTAATAATACATGTTCCACTGTTTCCATCTGATTACAGTGATTACAAGTAGCTGAGTCTTGTTTCCCTATTTTGAAAATAGAACTATTAAGTACAGTATGACTAATTCTACGTCGAGATATGACTACTTCTTCTTTCCGCCTTCCATTTGTATAACTATTACCCCCCACAGTCTTTTGAATTTTATATAGATCATGATTTATATAGATTGATGATTATCCCAATGTTACTCCCACTTATTCAAATAAAAATAATAAAAAATAAAATAAAACAAAGGGTTGGTGAAAAATAGTATGCTTGTAAAGCTCAGATATTTTAAAAAGTAAACACAAACTATTCTTTAACAATTTCCTTTACTTCAATCCTCTTTTTTAGACATGGAAAATGAAATCTTTAAAATCCTTTTGCTAGTCTATCAATCACTGAATGGATCAGCACCTCAATAAATAACAGATTTGTTGTCAGTGGATCAACCTCCCAGACCTATTAGACCTTTTAGTCTCTATCCTACTCTGTACACTCAGAACTGTAACCAAACATGGAGAAGCAGCATTTAGTTCCTATGCTCCACTGATCTGGAACAAACTCCCAGAAGACTGGAAAAGTGCTGAAAGCCTGAGTTCCTTTAAGTCAAAGTTAAAAACCCATTTGTTTAGAACCAACTTTGACTGTTGAAGTTAAACTGTTAGCTAAGGTATTACTATGTCTAAGGTTATGTTCTAACTGTTTTATTTGTTTTACTACCTGCTTTTACCATATTTATCTTTGTTTGCCTTTTCTCTGCTTTTATTTTTCTTCCATTTATTGTCTAATTCATGTAAAGTACTTTGAATTGTGCTTGTACTCAATTGAGCTTTACAAATAAACTTCCCTTGCACCTGATGCAATACCGCTTTTTCTGCTTCTTCAGTTATTTAAGTTGTAAACAGCTCTAGTTATTAAACATTTACAACCCCTTCTCTATCCCAAACCCTTTTTAACAGAATAGAAATGATTAGAAATATCACCAAAATAAGTTCCAGTTCTCTATCATCTTCAGTAAATCATCCATGCAAAAATAAAGGTGGCATGTCAGATAATTTACCTAATTTGAGCAAAATCTTGTTTTGTTCATGAAAATATAAAAAAAAAAAAAAAAAAAAAAAAATTACAATTGGTAAAATACAATTCAATGTACAAAGTGATTCAGCATTTTTCTCCCAACATGAAATCTAGACTTTGGAATTTAAACATTTACACATTATCTTTATTTTTGGATGTCCTCAATACTTTTTTTTTTACCAATATGAATGTCAATGTATTGCAAGAATTGTATCATTAGGGCATTTCCTGTAATCTGCGTGTGATCAGTTTAGTGCAGAATGAACCTGTTAGTGTATACTGGTTGACCAGCAGGTGGCAGTATAACACGGTGGACTCACAATAATTGGTTTAAATGGAGGGACGCTCTCCACACACAACACGTGCAACAAAAAACAAACAAACAAACAAAAAAACAGGTTTTACTAACTTTGGTGCATAAATATTTTAAATTCCTTAACAGCTTACAAACAAAATGTATTTAAGAAAGTGTATTTTATGGCATCAATGTCATGGAATATAAAACTAAGTTCTTTTTGCCATATGATAGTAAGGTTGTATAATATGATTTCATGACGATGATTATGCAGAGTAATCAAAAAAACCTAAATTTGATGAGCAGAATTTATTATCTGATAACTCTGACTTTTGCATTTTGCACACATTTCTTATGACATACCATCTCGTGTTCACATAAACAAATATATGCTGACTTCATAAAAGCATTGCAAAAATCATCACAAAATAACTTGTGTGATTTCAGATTTACATAAGAATCCCTCCCAGAATTATAACTTAAATGGAACATGCTGTTCCAAAATGTACTTTTAGGTTTAATGAAATTCAAAATCTGATTGATATGGAAATTAAATATATGTGTTAAGGGCTTTGTCTATTTGAGTAGGCATTTTGATTATTTTAATAACAGAAGTATGTTTAATTTCTGTTTAATTTCCCAATGTTTTCTGTAGTACTTAGAAAAGTCTGACTCAATAATTTGACATGCAGAATATGTTTTGAAGGTTTCCTTCAGATCTTCATTTCTGAAAAACATCTTCGAAGGCAGTCCAACCACGGACTTTCCTGATCTAGGTGTGTCATCTGAGGCCTTTATTTTCATTTTGGAGACCAGAACTCTTCTAATAATTTCCATCCAGTTGCTAAAGGGGTCAGCTCCTTTGTGGCCCATTCTCTGATGCCCACTTAAACATCTAAGAGGTGGAATGTGTTACACAGCATTTGTTTACCAACCTTTACTGGATCCTAACACATCTTCTCAGTATAAGTGGCATACCAGAGCTGTTTTCTTTTGCTGCGGCATATTTCCTGTTAAATGTCAGCTTTATAATAATGAGTGGAGTCAGACAGTTAATTTAGGTTGCACCATTCATGCAAAGTCTGATTGAAAAAAATGATGAGCAGGGAATCATTGAAAGACAAAAAGAAAATAGCTCAGAAATATAAAAACATTACAGAGAGTAGAATAAAAAATAAATGTATTAAATAGATGTGGTCTAAAACTGGTCTTTGAAAAGTTACTCAAACCACTTATCGCTTTATAGGCCAACATTTGAATTTAAAAAATATGATCTCTGACCAACAGTGATTAAAGAATGATTAAAGAACTGGAGGATGTGATAGATAGGTATTTTGTGAAACGTGTATAATCAGCTGTTTAGTTTTTAAAGTATATCACCTTCTGAATATCATATCAAGTTTTTCAAAACTTAAAAAAAAAAACAGAGGGCCCCTCTGGTTTTGAGACAAATTTCTCCAAATTGTATTTGACTGCAACAGTTTTGTTTCTGTTTTTATTCAAGCTGCACATACTTTTAATTTAAATTTTACATATTCATTTTTCCATTTTGATTCAGATTTAAATGAAAAGTTGTAACTAAAAAGTGAAGACATGACAAAAGTAAATTTAAAAAAAGAAAGAAAAAAATTATATAGTCTTTAATTTCATACACAGACCTGACTATTTCTATCTTGTACATGATATGCATAGTTAGATCTTAATTCATTTAAATTCTGTTAATGTTTTATAATGGTTGTTTATTTAAGGTGGAAGAAGTTTGATAGATAGCTAGACAGACAGACTTTATCGTCCCAAAGGAAATTTAATACAGACTCTGGCTGCTATATAGTCCAAACTGTGTCACACTGCATTCACACATAAAAACACTGCTTTGGAAATTCCATTATAAGACAATAAATAAATACATAAGGAGGTATGTTACATACATTCAAAATACAAAAATAATAATAAAAAAATAAATGTATGTATAAAAACCCTTCTTTAAAAAAACTGTCATAAGAGATAATGAATACGCAAAAAACATGTAGGTTTAGTTTAAATTTTGAATACCATTGCTGATTCTACAATTTACTGCTTGATGTTGTTTATTGCTTTAATGGAGATAAAAGTCAGAATTTTATCTCCATTAAAAGTCAGAATTCTGAGATTAAAGTCAGAATTTTGAGATTTAAGTCAGAAGTTTGAGATTCAAGTCAGAATTGTGAGAAAAAAAAGTCAGAATTCTGAGATTACAGTCAGGATTCTGACTTTTCTCCCATATTAAACTGAAATAATATTTAAAAATCAGTTAACTTTTTTTTCAGTGACCCTAATCCTCTTTCGTAGGCAAGTAGAGTTTGTTAGTTTGTGAGTTTTATTCCTCTCAGCGCACCCCGGCTGTAATTAGCATACCTGCGCTGCAGTTCCCCTTTCAGCCTCTGGGGTGTGACAGCAGGTTTATCATCAATTCGCTTGCACTTTTTTTAATGGCACTGAAGAAGTTTTAGATGTTTGGGGGGGTGAGGGGCTGGCCTTTTTTGTTCTGCTGGAGAATCCTGCTCCAACAGTGAGAGGGGCGATAAATCACTGTGCCGTGGGCCAATGGGCCGAATCACAGCACGGAGGAGTTGACTCCGCGCTCTGGAAGAAAAGCCGTTAGAAAGAAGAAGTTTACCTTCCTCCAGCCCGACCGTTAGCAGCAGCGGCTCCAGGGTCAACGGGCAAACCAGTGTTTGCCAGCAGCTAGCAACGTTAGCCTAAACTCCTGTGCGGGTTTGGGTGGGTGGTGGGGGGGTTACTTGTTTGGGGTTAGGGGGCGGGGGTACACCGAGTAGGCAGAAGAGTTAACGCCGAGAGGAGGGGGCTGGAAGACCGAGACGCCTCCAGCCTGAAGGGGCCGGCGGTTTGGCCACAGCACCCCGTACTAGCTAGCCTGTACCTTCGCGGCTAAGTGAATGGGATGGAGCCGGGAGCGGCTGGCGCTGGTAGGTGGATTTTTTTTATGTTTACACATAAACATAATTTAGAGTGTTATAAATATAGCTCCAAATACACGCAGCTGTTGGAAAAGCTGGGTGCCGTAGCCGACTCAGCGATGGGGGATGTAAGGAAGAGGCAAGCCACCATCATCGCATAGTAGACGCTGAGAGTAAAATATTGCAGCCCGAATGGCCAATATTACCTATTTACTCAGATTTATAATGTAGTGCTTTTTAGCACTGACAATTCACTCAGCCATGCGTGGGGAGGGACAGGGAGGTCGTGGGAAATCTGTGGTGAGGAACGAGGAGATGAATCCCGCCTTCAGCAGCAGCTGGCTGCTCCTTGCTTTCTGAACACCAGCCTCCCCCCTCCTCACTGCTGCTTTCCTTACTTTAAGCTGCTCTGCTAAACTACGTTTAACACCATCACCTTGCATGCAGCATTTTTAACATCCTGAGGCCCGCCATCTGTAGCTAGAGGTGAATTATTTATGAATATGGCTCCAGAATAAATCCACAATAGTAATTTTCACACATTTTCATAGTTTGGTTTGTTACTCTGCATCAATACATTTCTAATCTGCAGTCAGAGTTGATGTGTACTAGAAATTAACTTCTATCTGGAGGCACTGAAGGGTGCAGGCAATCAATTAAAGCAACTAATAGGAAGAAGTTGTTCTGCAGTTTTATTTTATTGTTAAAAAGCACTTAACTCTGTACCTACCAATCTGACATCAAATCCCTGAAATGTTTGCAATGCTGAGTGTTGGTCTGAGTTCTCAACCTTTTTTCTGACCTTCTAGACAGTATTTCCTATTCTGGAGTATTGTTCTATAAATTGATATTACATTTTCACATAGACAAGTGAGATGAAGATTATAAATTGTTTATGATATGATTGACATGAAAAGGGTAGTTTTTTTTATACTTTCAATACTTGTAGAATGGTGAAAAGACCCCTGACCCCTATTTCTTTGTATGCTTTTGTATCTGAAGTTTGACAGTTTAACTTGTCACTCTTCTCAGGTGGATCAGTTTAGTTTTAGTTTTAGTAATTAGCCTAACAAGCAGGAGCTTCCTAGAGGGACCAGATAAGCTAATAAAGAATCTCTTGTACTTTATTTGTTTTGATAAGCAGTTACATTTTCTTTTTTAGAATTATAAGTTGCGTACAGCAATCTGGCATAGCCAATCTGATTTTTAAAGCTTTTATTTCTCTTTAAAAGACACTGGAAATGAATGCAAAATGGCAGTTTTAAGGCAGTACTTGTTAGTTCAACAACCTAGAAGGAAAATGCTGTATTATTTACATTTAAGGCTCCACGCTTATATAAAATTTATATTACAAACAAAGAAATAGATCAATTTATATAATTCATTCAGTTTTAGACTTGAAATCATCAGTTTTGAGACATTTCATGAGTGATCTGACCTGTTAAAGATAAAATTGGTTTGAACTCAAAGCCAACTGATTGGTTCATCTTATTTTTTAAATTGCACTGATTATTATCTTTATACAACAGTAATTATTTTAGGGCTGCAACTAACGCTTATTTTGCAAAAGGATTCATCTGTCGCAAATTTTATTTAGATGAATAGATCAATAATCGGATTGCCAAAGGTTCCTATAAGAAGATTTTTTTTTTACTAAATTAAACCAGGTGAAACTAAACCTTTTCCACTTGAGGAGTTCTGGATAGAGCATATTGACAGACAAAAACAAAATGTTTATATTTTTTTTCACAATTTTGATATAATTGCTGCTCGAAGTGGGTCACTGTCAGCCAAAGGAATGTTTTAGAGTCTCTATACTCCAATTAATGATTAATCGATTACTAAATTAGTTGATTATTTCAATAATCGATTCATCACGATAAATCAGATTCATTGTTTCAGTCCTAAATTATTTAATTATGTATGTCTTGAAATGGTCTTGACATGTATAAATTCATCAAGACAAACCAAAAAAATGGCAGGTTTTCCAAATGAGCAGTAATGACCAGAAGAAAGTAGAGAGAACCTCGGGTCGATGTAGGCCAGGATATAACTTTCAAATAGTTCGTATGTATCTTGCTCCTCGTTACGTCACTGTAAAGACAATAAGAGGCGTGCAAGGCTCCAGTTTAAGTCTTTTACCGCCTGGGAGAGGGATTGCTATTGTGTTGGGATATGAGAGAGCACTGGCTCCACTTCTCACCATCTGCCTTCACTGGCACGAGGGAGAAGTGTGCGTCTTTGTGAGTTAGCGGACAGCAAGGGCCGCACATTTACACACATGTATCCTCTCCAGCTCAAGGCTTGCACGTTTCACCACATGTCTTAGATCTGTGTTTACTGTGTTGGTTGGATCTGTGGTTTTACTCACATAAAGAGGCGACACTCAGTTTCTTTTGGCAGAGCGCGCTTTTTCACATCAGGACGACTATTCCTCATAACTTGAAGGTTTTTGATTTTTACGGCAGATAGCTAAAGCAGGGGTTCTCTAGTTTGGGACGCTCTCCCCAAAAGGCCAAGGTCTCCCCAGCTCTGCATGATCATGGTGGCTCCCTGCCTCCTCCCACATCTTCCAGCAGCCTTACACATGAACACACACAGGTCCCCTGATATCCATGACAATACCGTGTTGCTGTGGTGTCTCCATGGTGAGGCTGGGAATGTAGAAGAGGGAGGGGTCCTCCTGTGTTTCTGAGTGTGTTCACCGTAGCAAGCGCACTCCCTCCGTCGTTGTATTTCTGTGTGTGAGATGGAGGAGATGGGCAGCTGGGGTCTTTGTTTTGGTGGAGGAGGGCTGCTCTCTGGGGACCCAAAGGTTAGGGCAGTGGGCCCCTCTCAGGCAGGAGTCAGAGCTAACTTCACACCCAGTACCCCAGTCTGGGACACTTCTCCCTTTCCAAACCTGAACTCCAACCAACTTTTCCTAATAAAGAAGTGAAACAAAATCCTGCCTTGAAAATTCTGCAGTTTGGCTTCATTGTTTTTGAAGTTTTAGTTATAGATGAAAACTGAATTGGGCAAAAAAACTTTTCAGACTTAAGTATTAGATTTTTGTTTTCTTCATACAAATGAAACAGATACGTTACATTCAAGTTATGCTTTTCGATGAATTGTATACTAAAATATGATTTAAAAACAGTTTTGGTTCAGCACTGCAGTGCAAAGTATGAAACTCAGATTCATCAGATCTCATAATTCATGGCATTTTTTAAAATGCTCTTTTTTGTTAATTAAATACTTTTTAAACTAATGAAAGCCCAACATTCATCTTCTCAAAAAAATAATATTGCATATCTTCTGAAAAGTGTGTGCATGTGCCGCACTGCAAAATGTACTTTGTCGGGCTCGTTTTGCATGAATTGCTGCATAAACGGAACGTAACATGGATGTGAAAAGGTGGTAGGTTTGCTCAGGTGTAATGGCTGGTTAATGATGCACTGCTATAATTTTGCCGTTAACCCAGTGTGCGCAGGGGCCAAGCCATTAAACAAAACAGCATGAGAAACTTTAAAATGTCTCTTCACTGACGTTGGACTCTGTAGATATGTCAGTGAACAGGACTTCCCAAATCATTACAGGCTGAAGTTTCCCCAAACTTTAAAATGGGATTTGCTTCACAGACTGCAGTTAATCCTGCTGCTTGTTTTCCTTTCCTCAGTTTTCCTTCCACTTAACCTTCCATTAATTTGTTTGAATGCAGTATTCAGTGAGGAGACCTCCTTTTGTGTCCCACCCCCTTATGGGGAGGGGCTTTGACAGTATTTTCTTTATTGGTGAAAATCACAACAGAACATTATTGCATTCTAACACCTTGGTCCATTGTCTTTAGTGTATTTTTTTTAAAAACAACTTCAGAAGCTGAACAAGATGGTCTCATTAGCTGTAAGCCAAAAATATCAAACGGGGACGGCTCTTATCTTTTTAATGAATCACAGTTAGATTTTGAATTAAACTACCGGTAAATTAAACTATTACTATATTAATGATCTAAAGTGTTGCATCTATATATGATCTTGGGCTCCTTTTTAAAACCTTATATGTCCTTGTGTTGTAATAATAAAGCGACTGGTAAACGGCTTCTTAAATATTAGAATCATCAGTAGTTGATGTAGTTCTGCAACAATAATAATTATTCTAACCTATGTCTTTTCCTTCCCTCTATGTGTGTTCTTTTTTTTATCTCCATTCCCCCCCTTCATCCCAAATGTTTTATCTTGTTCTTTATCTTCTTTGAAATCTTTCTTGCTCACCTTGTTTTACTCATTTTCTTTCCCACCCTTCCACTCACTCCTCTGTGGTGTATCTCTTTCCTCCACATTGTTTCTGGTCTCTCCTATCGTCCCTCTCGTACCTTCCTGTCCCGGCTGCTGGATGCCCACTAATCATTTCATTTTAACTCCTGCCTACGCTTCCTTCCTCCCTTACACCAACATTTGCGCCCCTCTTTGCCCTTTTCTCTGCTTTAACTGTTTCCTTCCTCTCTGCTTCCTCTTGTGGATCTTCTAATTCATTAAATCAACTTGAATCTTTTCTTTCTGTGAATCTCACCTTATTCTACTGTCTTTTTTTCTCGTTTTTTAACATTGTTTCCATCTGTTTCCTGCTCTTGTGGATGCCTCCCTGTAATGTGTCTGTCCAGTGCCCTTGGGGGTCTTCCCCCCACCCCTGCAGCAGGTGTTTCATGCCCCTCGGCGGCCAGGCATGGGCACCGTGGGCAAGCCCATCAAGCTGCTGGCCAACTACTTTGAAGTGGAAATCCCAAAGATGGACGTCTATCACTATGAGGTGGACATTAAGCCTGACAAGTGCCCACGGCGAGTCAACAGGTAAGCAGTATTTACTATGGTTACGCCGTTGGTCTCAAGCTTTACTGGCTTTATAACCATTATAGAAAGTCTATTTCCATCATTTTCATTTAAACTGTGCAGGAATGTATATAATTCCTGTATATAATGCCCAGAATTTCCCCATTGTGGGGCGATAAAAGGGTTTTCTATTCTATTCTATTATGTAATGCATAAGTTGGATTGCTATTGTCATCTAGTTGTTAAGATTAGATGATATTAAGTTATCTCAGGACTGTGCTTTCAGTGTCGCATAAGGAAGGAAATTCCGGACATTAAACATGGAAAATTAATCTATAAAAATAAGACGGAAAGTACATAATTTAGTTTTTTAACATGATTTTATCCTTATTATTACATCTGCAAGGAAACATTCTTTTATTCTGAAAAAAGTGATTTTAACTAACCCACAATTTGCTTTGTTATGGTTCGGCTAAAAAGTCTGCAGCAAATATTCTGTATTCTGGATCACTGCATCCAGATTTTATAAAACGATTAAATGAAGATGGCTAGATTTACTTTGTTTGTAACATGCTGCCCTCACCTTTAAAATCTAAGCCTGGTTCTCCTGAGATTTGGCCTGAATATTGGGTACAAAAGCAGCTCGGTGTAACCTATAATGTGTGGTTTTATGTTCCACGGAGAACGCAGAGGAGTTGTATCACGCAGCATTAATGTTGAGGTAGAGGATCTGAGATGATGGTAGGTTCTGTATTTCTGATGAGAATCCATCATTGCTTCATAACAGTGTTGTAGATCAGCTGCACCTGCTTATGGGAGGATCTGTTTTTCAACCTTCTGCTAATTCTGAGCTGTGGAGCCCAGTGGGCAGCTTTCAGAACTTATATCCCTGATTAAATTGTCCTCCTGGATGATAAGAAAGGTCAATGTTTAGGACAATAAGGGAATAGCTGTGATGCGTTAATTTGATCATTGTTAATAATGCATAACAGATCAGAAAAACAGCTTCAGCTTACAGCTGGAGTTCCTTTAGAAAACAAGTGATTTCTGAACCACAGCTGTTGCTAGGTGATTGGTGTGTTGAATGCAGTCCAATAATCTGGAAATATTGCAAATGTGAGGTTGGCCAAGTTTTTTTATTTATTTATTTATTTATTTTTTACCTAGTTGACAGCGCTTGATGCTTGGTACAAGGGCAACACCAGTGTTCAGTTGTTTTATCTTTTTAAGTCGTGATGGCTGAAGATCAAACCATTTTGACTTGTCAAAAGGCTTATTTTGTTATTTTCTCTAACCTGCTCTCATGTTTCTTTGTACCAAAATCCAACAGTCCCAAGCATACTTGGGTTCTATTTATCATTGATTAAAATTGTGGTTTGCCAGAATTTGTGTTTTTATATATGCTTGCTTTTGTGGGGTTATAACATATGTTAAAAGGCTGATAATTATGAGGAACCCCTCGCGATATACATTTTTACTTGTAAATCCACGTGTATATTAGCAATTGTACAGATGAGATCCATGACATGGCTCTATTTATTGATCTATCTCTGTGCACGACCATGCCCGCCACGAAGACGTTCTGCAACCGTCGTCGCACACCTCAAAAAATCCTGACTGAGTGTCGGTCGGTTGCAAACCCGCACAGACCTCAAGTGGAAGTTCGCAGACAAAAAGCAGCTGTGATTGGTCCTTGGTATGCCTTTCCGGCTGTCTGTATGGTCGTCCCACTTCGCTGGGGCACGTCATTTTTTAAAACCGAGGAACAACTACAAAGGTAAACTACGACGAAAGCTTAATCAAGGCGGTTTGGAAGTACAACCACTTGTACGATGCCTCAGACAAATTCTATAAAGATGCCAAGGTCTCTGCCAAAATGAAGTTCTCGTGACCATCCACCAAAGTTTTCACGGGTTTTTGAATAGGCTTCCCTTTGCGCTTTGGTGGGAAACTGCTGTGCGACCCTAGAAATTCCAGACCGATGGTGCACAAGCATACCAGCAAAACTGGTTCGCGACCAGACCCAATCGACATTAGATTTGTGCGACTGCAGAAGTCTGCTGTCAAAACACAATCACTAAACATTAATGTCATCAAAACGGGCAACAAATATGGCTCCTCTGCAGTCAGTGTGCTCACCAATTGTACAACAGAACTATGGTAGTAAAAATATTGGATGCTCAAAAAGTGAATTATTTTGATTGAATAGTTTGTAAAATCCATCATTTTGGTTCCATATTTATCACTGGGTTGTATTGGGTCGTCCATACATGCTCTAGTAAGCTCCTCTGGGCTTCACATTTTAGTATATTGTAAATGTGGGATAATAGGCTCAAAACAGCAGCAACAGTTTGCTTTCATCTACAGAGCTGTAAAACACAACAAACATGACAGCATAGTGATGGCAGTGGAATCGTGGTCAAGAAATATGATTTTTTTTTATATAATTGTTGATTGATTTTTTTTTTTTTTCAAAGCAAACCATGACGGGCAAGGCATCAAGGATGATTTTCTTAAAGCTAACGGAAATTCGATTATATAGGAAAGTCAGAAACTGCTGAAAAGAAGTTGCAATCTGCAGTGTGTTGTATACTTCCCTGTTAATGTTAATAAACAAGGTTTGCGTTACTTTCTTAGAAATCGTTTCCTCCACTGTGGAAACAAATTTTATCAGTTGACCAGCCTCTTTCCATGCATGTCTTTGATCAGAATCATTAGTTATGCCGAGATTAGGTTTAAATGAAACAAATGGAAAACAACAAAGTAATGTATAAGATATTCACACAGGATGGTCAAATTTCCTTCAAGGGAAATGGTGATTTCTGACTGGATGAAGAAGAGCTCAGATATGGGCTGCAACACTTCAAAAACAGCATTATGTGCATTTTATATGTATTATTAAAATATAATCAAAAGAATGGAAGATAATTGGGAAGTTAAAGGAAAATGGAGACACATGGTGTTTTGTGGTGTTCTCTGTTTGGTTTTTGTAAGCCTTGTTTGCCAAGTTTAGTCCACTGTGTGGGAAATATTTAACAGGTTTTATATTTACCTGATAGGGATAATTTACAATACTTTCATAGCTTCAGGTATTTTTTTTATCTGCTGTCCCCACCTTAGAGCAGAGGTTGTGAACATCTGAAAACAGCCATAAAGCTGAATCTGTAAAGTACATTTCCAAAGCAAATCACAAAGCGGTAACAACAACACAGTCATCTCGGCATAATAACTACCGGTACTATGAAGTGCCATAGAAAAGATGGAAAAAATTGTTTACGTATCACATAGAACTAGGGGCAATTACTCGGATTAATCGTGATTAATCAATTATTGAAATAATCGCCAACTCATTTAGCAATCAATTAATTGGTATAGACTGTAAAACATGGCTTTAGCTGACAGAGTAACCCACTTAGAGCTGTAAACACATGAAAATTGCAAATTATATATAAATATTTAGCTTAAGGTTTAAAAAAATGCTTACGTATATCAATATGCTCTATCCAGAATTCCTCAATTAGAAAAGTTTTAGTTTCACCTAGTTTAATTTCGTAAAAAAATCCTCTTTGATATTTGATACTTAATCCATCTGTCGAAAAAATAAACAACAGATTAATCGATTTACAAAACAACCGTTAGTTGCAGCCCTACATAGAACCTCTCTGGTTTAGTTTTAGTGTTTTCGTACCTGGCTTTTGCTGGTATAAAACGGAGCCATCTGTCACAGGACATATTCTATTATCTATGTTTGAACTCCTAATTTCTTCTAGGCGGTTTCCTACATACTTTTCTACGAATTATAATTTTTTATTTCCACCATTAACCTGCTCAATTGAAATATGATCATGACTCCAGCGACCAGTAAGAGATCGCTAGGATTGAAATGTCATGATCCGATATCCTAAATCAGTCTGATATTAGCATATATACGAATATTATAATAATATTGACCTGCATCTAAAATCTGATATAAACAAGCTGATGGAAACACTTTGCTTCCATCCACTTCTGTTAAAGTTTATGCAACCCACTGATTAATAAGATTGTCCTCTGTTTTAATATATCCCATCAAAACTTTTCTAACATCCCCCAATACAGAAAGAATGATATGAGTGAGTATGATATGTGCTGAGATCATATCAGGATCAAATTGGAAATTAGGAAGTTGTATCGGGACGCCCCTAGTTTTTAGGTATTACCTTTAAAAGACTGGAATATAAAAGTCAACTGGACCATACATGGTTTAGAAACAAATGAGTAGGAAGTTATAAAAGGTTTGTGTAAGATAATATAGATATGAAACTTCGTAATTAGTATGAGGCTAGAAAAGGAAGTCATAAAAATGGTAATTATTACAGATAAGACAAAGTCCATCCATAAAATGCAATGGGTTCCAATTGATTGTATTTATTACATCACATATAGATGCATATAATGGGGTTTTGAATTGAGAAAGCTTTCTGTATGAGAAGTGAAACATCTTCAAACTTGAAAAACAAATTCCAGTGTTTTGTTTTTAACTTTTTTTTGGAAACAATAATGGGGTTAACCAATTTAGTGTTTAAGAACATTTTGAATTAAGTTAAATCTACTATGGAAATAGACTGGATAGGTCTGCCATGTTGATGGGGCTCATTTTTAATGATGGCTTGTTTACAATTTTCTTCAGTATCAGGACTGATGCTGATTTTAATATTGGATTGGTACACCTTTACTAGTAATCATAACAATACAATGTATTTTGCTTCCTGGATTATTTCAAACTCTCTTAATAATTATGAGATCAGGGGTGTTTGGTTAATCCCTAAAGCAGTCAGATCGGCTCTGTTCCAGTTTGAATAAAGGAGAAAAACAACAACACTACCTAATAATTTTTCTGAGTGGCTGGTTCTTTCAAACCTTTCCCTTTATAATCTCCTGACATTTTGTTTTTCTGTCAAAAGACATTAAGAAATAATAAAAAAAAGAAGGGAACAAAAGACTTGATATGTTCTTTAATTTCCAAGTGTGATATTTTATTCTCACCATCCCAAACATGTGGGGCTAGAGGGAGTTTTGGATGGCTCCCTGAAAATAAAACATGAAAAACAAAAATCAGGCAGTTTTTATCTTTCTACTTTTCAGGAAAATTGTCAGGCATACATTATTGTTCATGTTTGTTGTCCTGCTTGTATCTAAGCATGGTGCCACATGATTGGCTGTTAAGCCTCCCAGTTGTCACGTGTTTCAGTGCTGCTTATTAACAGAAGCACAGTAACTTTGTTTATTGTCTGTCACTTGGCTTTAACCCCAGAGTTGTGATGCCTATGATGACTCAGTCACTGCTCATTGTCTCAGGGTTCTGGATAATTACTGAAAGCAGCTTTGATAACCTAAGAAGAATGGTAACGGTATTTGTATTACCTGTCTGAAATCGGACAAATGTTTGCAAAACTTCAGAGCTTAAATTATTTCATGTTTTAGAGAAAAATAACCAGCATCCATATGTTTAAATAAACACCTCTGCCATCTTCATTTTGTAGTTTCTAAAATACTAGTTGATTTAGTGATATAAATTAGAAACTGGAAAATCGTTAGCTTTGGTATCATACCCTGTAAATTGGATATCTCGTAATCTCTTTCAAAATTCTAAAAAATCTAGTTTCCTCTCCCTGGAATTGGAAACACAAAGGGACCAATAAGGCAGGCAGAGGTTGAGACCTTTGACCTTTGTCTTTTTTGAATATCTCCTCACCCCCCCCAACGTTAAAATGAGAACCAAGCGTTAAATCATGGCCTCCCCTCTGCCACCTGCACTCACTCGCCCTTTGTCTTGCTGCTCCCCCCTCCAGTGACGTCCATGTTGGACCCAGCAGCTGTATCCCAATCGATCAATACTTGATCACATGAAGACACGTCTCCGTCTCCCTGATGAGGCTGCTGGTTCATTCGGCACAATGGGCTGTCGTTTGTATTCTGATACTCGTTAAACTAATTCTATGATTGTATGTCTCAATTCCTACAGAGAGGTGGTGGAGTACATGGTGCAACATTTCAAGCCGCAGCTCTTTGGTGACAGGAAACCAGTATATGATGGCAAGAAGAATATTTACACCGTCCTAGCACTTCCTATTGGGAGTGAGAAGGTAAGATGTTTTTTGTTATACCAAGCCATCGAAAGATGCTTATCTTCCAAGGAATCCATAAAGTTTGCCTTTAGTTTTGTTTCGATGGGATTTAGGTGTTTCTCTTTGGGGGAAGAATTATTTAACTGCTTCTTTTTCCTTTGTCACCATTTACTGTAAGCCATATAGGCCAACAGTACTATGGAAAAAAAATCCCTGCAGCTTTAGATAACTCCAGGAACTCTGCTGAAGTGGGGAAAGGCACATGCCACAGGAAATGTTTTTCTTTCTCCCATTTTTAATTAATTGCAGACCTTAATGCTTTCCTTGTCCTCCCAGGTGGATTTTGAGGTAACCATCCCCGGTGAGGGTAAAGATCGAATCTTTAAGGTTTCCATCCGCTGGCTGGCCAAAGTATCATGGCGGCTGCTGCAGGAAACTCTTGTAAGCGGCCGGCTACAAGTCCCCCTTGACTCAGTTCAAGCCTTGGATGTGGCCATGCGTCATTTGGCCTCTATGAGGTGCGTCATAGAAAGCTGTCCCTTTGTTGAGAAATCAAATAAGCTCCTTAAAGATTTAAACCTGTTATAGAGTGCCTTGCAAAAGTAACTATTTCCATCATACATTTATAATTTTATTGGGGTTTTTTGCAATGGATCAACACAGTGTTACACTAAAAATATGTGAAAATTTGGTGGTCATCTAAATGCAATTTCATCAGCATAAATCCAGATGTTCTGTGAAGGCTAAAGAGGTTGGTTTGAGAAGTTGGGTGAACATACAGCTGCAGAAAGACCAAAGAAAAACAAACCGTCCAGGGATTTAAATGTACCTTTGGTTCAACAGGAACATTAGAATATATTTCTATTCTTTCCCATACAATTGTAGAAACCTGTTAAAGCATGACCCCAGGCTCACACCGACTCCGGTCTTACCGTTGCGGTGCGGTGGGTGCGGCGCCGCAGTGATTCCAAGTCATTAAAAAGACGTAAACCTCTCTCACCGGCTGCTGAGCTGTCCGGCTGCGGTTACCGAGACACTCCGGCGCTGCAGAAAATTCCGCAAGAAAGCTATCCTTGCGGCGTGCCGGAGCCCTCCGCAACAAGCTCTCGCAAAAATCCTTTATTTGGGCCGTGTTATCGCGTGAAGTTACGTGAACTCAAGTGAACTTCTGTTAAATCTCCGGACCTGTTGCCGGAGCCGCAGAGCCGCACCGCACCGTAGTCAAAAGGGCGGTGTGAGAGGGGGTGTGCGGGAGTTGCGGTCTCCGTCGGCTCGGTAACCGCACCGGAGCCAGTGTGAGCAAGGCCTGATTGTACATTTTCAACATCTCCCAGAACACTGCTTCATCAACAAAATCCAAACATTTAGTTCAACAGCATTCCTACACTGACAGGTTTGGTAAGGAGAGCTTTTATCAGAGAAGCAGCCCAATGGGCCACCATAACCCTGGAGGAGCAGCGGAGATCCATGGACCAAGTATGAAATCTGTTGACAGGATCACCTTAAGTTGTGCTCTCTACTAATCTGGATGTTAGAAAAAAAAAACAGAGTTTAAACAGAGCTGTAAGATTCATGTGAACTGAGTTACAAAACAATGACTGAGTGATGCAGTCAAAGCCACAAGTCTTGCAAACTGAGGAAACATTTGTCTAGGCGTGCAAAGCTAAAATAAATCTGATGAAGGATTTGCAACTTTCATTGCAGCTAAAATTAATTCTATTGAGCAGGAGTTTTCAATGTTTTTTTTTAGTTCAAAACTCCAGATGGAAGAAGAAAATAAGCAAGGAGCCTGTAGCTCTCTTTGTCCAGCAGCTGCTTTAGGTGTGCTGACAATAGTTTAACATCAGGTAACAAAGAATTCATCTGTTAAGCTCAGAAGGTTTTAGACCACAGTTAACACATCTTGATGCAACTTTTTGGTACCTGTGTGAAGGTAACACACAAAAGATGTTTTGCTTTTCTATAATGGATTAACCGAAGAGATGAATAAAAACAAATGTCTCATTTATTTTAACATGTAAAAACAAAACATAAAACTAAAAGGAGATAAAATATTGTTTTGCTTTCAGTTCACATATTTGTGCTACTGTGTTGGTCTATCACTCTCACTTAACATCTCGATAAAAAAAATATATATTTTTTTATAAGACACAATTTTTTTTAAACCAGACTAGTTTGGGGGTCTAAGTTAAACTTTCTTTATTGGTGATAGATTTTTTATTTTATTTTTTCGATTCAGATCAAGCTGTACATCTTTTCTTGTTTATTCATTCTAGAGAAAATCATGCCCTCTCCATGAGCGCATAGCCTTAATAAGCACAAGCAAATTTTTCTGTTCTCCTCCTATTAGGTACACTCCAGTGGGTCGTTCTTTCTTCTCCCCACCTGAAGGATACTACCACCCACTTGGCGGGGGGAGGGAGGTCTGGTTTGGCTTCCATCAGTCAGTGCGTCCCGCCATGTGGAAGATGATGCTTAACATTGACGGTAAGTCATAAATGACAGCACTGACTGCTGTGTGTAGTAATTCGGTGATCTAAGTGGCTTTCCTGACACTATGACTAGTAGCTACCAGAAATGAAAACATGCATTCTGTGACAAACATGCAGCTTTTCTCTGAAATGTTGCTTTCTTTCTACCAATATTGAGTTTTTTTTTTTTTTTTGTATAAGTTCTAGATGAATGCTCCCAATGTGGATAAAAGCCTTTAATTCTGCTACAGAAGGTGGAACATTTTCAGGACTTTTTGTTGCTCTCTGTCTCCCTCTAGTGTCTGCCACGGCCTTCTACAAAGCCCAGCCTGTGATCGAGTTCATGTGTGAGGTTTTGGACATTCGCAACATTGATGAGCAGCCAAAGACTCTCACAGACTCTCAGAGGGTTCGCTTCACAAAGGAAATTAAAGGTGAGGGAAAGAATCTCCTGAACAAAATATAGTTATCTTTCATGAGCAGATCTGATTGTAGAAAAAGTTACAGGCCATCAATTGTTGTTGGTAAAATGCTTTTATTTTGTTTGTTTCCTATACCAGCCTAAAGTTTGGAGAAGTATAGAACATGATTTTAATGTTTTCCAATTTGATAATAATGGTAAAAGCAAAACGGACTATAGAAACATCCTTTTGTTTCCGTTTTTCTTTTTTCTTTCTCAGTCAGATTGTTTTGAGTCTGATTCAAACTGTTTGATTTGTCTATCTGAAAATGTCAAATTGTATTTATGATTTATGCCACTACCAGTGGCATAAATCATTTGAACTGAATTGACTATTTATTATATGGTTTGACTTAAATATTTCTTTGTTTTTTAGATTTATAAAATTTTAATATAGAAAAATTATGAAAAAAATACGTTTGGTTTTGATGTTTCTTATTGCTTTTATGTATAAAATGCTTGAAAAATTTTAAATGCTTAACCTGGCTGTTGCTTACTAACTCTTCCTCATTTAATATATTTTTATTTTCTTCAGTTTTCTAATGGTATCGATTCTTTTGTTTGTAGGCCTGAAGGTCGAGGTGACACACTGTGGACAGATGAAGAGAAAGTATCGTGTATGCAATGTCACCAGACGTCCTGCCAGCCACCAAACGTAAAATCACTTTAGAATCAAATTAGCACAGAGACACATTCAAGTGTAATAGCTTTTAGTTTTTATTTGAATTCAATATAAAAACAAATGAGTGATAAAACTTAAATGAAACTGTAAATTCATCAAAGATATTAACTCTCAAGTGAAAACTGTTATAACTGATTTATACAGAGTTAAAGTTTTTTTTGGAAATACTCATGATGTATTAAGATATTGCTTAAAACAAGTAAAACTAATCCAAATATTTGAGAAAATTGGTTGCAGTAATTGATATCTGAATAGATTAAAATATTTTTTGATTGTCAAAGGTTTAGTATATAATGTGAACAAGTCTTTTGTAGCTTGTAAGAAAACTCTGAAGAGGGATGATGTATTGTACTCATTATGGCACAGCACTGATGGACACCTTTTCACGTTTAGGTTTCCGCTTCAGCTTGAGAGCGGCCAAACGGTAGAATGTACAGTGGCCCAGTACTTCAAGCAGAAGTACAACCTGCAGCTTAAATACCCCCACCTACCTTGTTTACAAGTTGGGCAGGAGCAAAAGCACACCTACCTTCCCTTGGAGGTAAGGAGGAAGAGAAAGACTATTATTTTGGCAATCTAATAAGCTGTAGGACAAATTATTATTGTATTGTAAATTATTGTGTGATTATTATCATCATCCCCAAACAATTGTGCTATTTTTTCCATTCTAGGTGTGTAACATTGTAGCTGGTCAACGGTGCATCAAGAAGCTGACAGATAATCAGACTTCCACTATGATTAAAGCCACGGCTCGCTCTGCACCCGACAGACAGGAGGAGATCAGCAGGCTGGTAAGATCCAGAGAACGTTTAATGGAGGCCATACATGTGACATTAGACCATATAACAGTGATTGGTGGTGCAGGCCGTGAAATATGACGCCTGTCCTTGACTCTTTACAGATGAAGAATGCAAACTTCAACCTGGACCCGTACATTCAAGAGTTTGGGATCAAGGTGAAGGACGATATGGCTGAAGTGACTGGCAGGGTGCTGCCAGCTCCTATTCTGCAGTATGGAGGACGGGTAAATGCAGCTCATCTATCAGTACCACTGCAACAGTTAAATGACATGTTTTTCCCCAATCACAATAAACTAAACCTTGGTTGGGTTGCACGATTTTTTTCTTCTATGCAGAACCGTGCCATCGCTACACCCAACCAGGGTGTGTGGGACATGAGGGGGAAGCAGTTTTATAATGGCATTGAGATCAAAGTCTGGGCAATCGCCTGCTTTGCCCCACAGAAACAGTGCAGGGAGGAGGTGCTCAAGTAAGTGCATATAGAATCCTGATTTTTTTTTTTTTTTTTCTAAGAAGGAAGATTTAGAGAGTTTTCACTCATGTTCCGGAAAATGAAAAATGTCATTAGATCCAGTCAATCTTTTACAGATATTAAATCAGAACCAAGTAACTTTTGCTCTTGGGCTCGCCCTACTGGTTCTTTTTGAGAACGCATTCTCATATAGGTTGGAGCCCCTTCTTATATCATCAAACGTCTTCTCTGCTTTGTATTTGGTTTTACCATCAGTCAGTCTGTTGCAGTAGTGCCATAGACTGTATATGAGATCTAGTGCTTTTAGTTAAGTAAAAATTTACTTTGTTGTTCTTTACATTCATTTTTTGCTCCGTCTTCCTCTTTAACTCTATTTCATTAAGAAGTGCAATACATTCAGGGGTGTATTATTTATTTTTTTTTTTAAGAAAAGTCTAAAAATGAGCTGCATATGTCCTCAGCAGTCTTTAAACTTGTTTCATGCACTGCAAGAACTGAGAAGCCTGTTCCTTGTCTTGGGATGGTAAGAATATAAAAAAAGTTTATTTTGGCTTAGAATATTCAAACAGTTAATTTCATTGAAAGTCCTATCGCCATGTTAAAGGAAACACAACAGCAACACGGATTCATTTTTCAGATTATTTAGAAATCAACAAATTAGTAGTTAAAGTCTAGCTGTTAATTAATATCATTATAAATAAATGTTCTGTGAAGCTCTTAGAGATTTAATATAACAAAAAAAAGTTGTAAAGAAAATATATCATGAAGGCAGCTCAGGGTCAAAGCTAAGGAAAAATAAGGGACGTCTCACTGAGCATAGTTCAGTCAATCAAGCAAAAACAGAAAGACGATGCACAAAAGGATGCATCCTAAACTGACAGTACACATAAGGTGGGCGTTAATCAAAGAAGTAGCAAAAAAAAGCTCATGGTGACTCTAACATAAGGGCTGTGAGGAGCAGCTTTAGAGGAACAACCTGATAAAGAAAACAATAAAAACTACAAAAGACTTTACACAGTATAAAGTCCTGAAGGAAGATTAACCAAAACATGGTGGAATCCACAGTGGAACGACTTGGATCTCAGTCTTATTGGATGGAGAATATCAGTAAACATAAAATGAACCGTTTGGTACCCTAAAAAATCCTGAATGCTGTGAATACCTCCAGTGCACTGTTAAATTCTGCCTTCATGTTTCCATCCGGACTTTGTCGTGACCTAAATGTGGATTTAACTCAGGAACTTCACAGACCAGCTGCGTAAAATCTCCAAGGATGCTGGAATGCCGATTCAAGGCCAGCCGTGCTTCTGTAAATACGCCCAGGGAGCCGACAGCGTGGAGCCAATGTTCAGACACCTGAAAAACACCTACTCTGGTCTTCAGCTCATCATTGTCATCCTGCCTGGAAAAACTCCTGTCTATGGTATGCTATTTCTGACTGGTTGTACACTCTTCAGTTTGGAAAGCATGTCCACATTTTTGGGAGAAAAAAGGATTTAAAAGCTGAAACAAAAGGCAGCTGCCTACCTGTTGAGCCTCATCACCCACTCAGGGCATCATGAAACACAAAATAGAACAAAGCAGGCTCAGGACCATCAGTCAGTTTGACTATTATGTAAGGAAGGAGTTTTACTGTTTTAGTTTTTAATTTCTACTTGATAACGGAAGCATATTTATTAACATTGTTTTGATTCTTGTGAAAATAATGCGGATTAGCAGTAGTGAACGTGGCAGCAGGTCTGCTTAAGATGTCCATGGCTGTAAACTTATCATAACTTGTCATCCAGAGATATTCTTCCTAACGCATTTAAACTCTGTCCTCAGCGGAGGTGAAACGTGTTGGAGACACCCTCCTTGGTATGGCCACCCAGTGTGTCCAGGTTAAAAATGTTGTAAAAACATCACCGCAGACGCTATCTAACCTCTGCCTAAAGATCAACGTGAAACTTGGAGGAATAAACAACATCCTGGTCCCTCACCAACGGTGAGCTTCTGTTGCTACATTCGATGTATTAGAATATTGACATTTGTAGATCTGGTGTGAATAATTAATAGACTACAACTGCCATAGTTTACATCATGGTCTGCTTCTATCTGTAAGATATGCATCATCTTCTGGGTTAAATCTGATCCTAAAGGGATTTAAAGTTTATTTTAGTTCCTCAGTATATGATCTTAAAACTAACTTGCTCTCCTTGATGATCAACTGTAATGTGAGTCTCCTCTTTAATGTGCCCCATCAGGTCAGCTGTGTTTCAGCAGCCGGTTATCTTCCTGGGAGCAGATGTCACGCACCCTCCAGCTGGAGATGGCAAGAAGCCCTCCATTACTGCTGTAAGCAATCACTCATACCTTCATCAATAGTTTTATTATTTCTTTTACATTGCTTCTAGAAGAAAAAGGGGAACCAAATGTTTGGACTAAACTCATACAAACGGGTGTATTTCACTGTTGTCTCTCATAGTAACAAACCAGTATGGGATTTTTCTTTTTATAGTACCTTGGTGTTTACAGAAAAGCTAAAAAAGGAATGCATAACATGTTCTAATTTCCTTTACTTTAACAGAGGTAGTCCTAATTTCAACTCTGGTTAAAATGATTTATTGGTTATTTTGTTTTTTTGTTATCTGCAAATCTCTTTATTTGCAGTGTTAGACTCACAGAATTGGCAAATGTTATTAGTTTTTAGGTTCCTTTTTGGGAGAATATTAAAAGGCTGAACATTAGCCTTCAGATTAGATTAACTTTGTAAGATTAGAGTCTTTCAAAATATGTGATGCATTTTTTCAACAGTAGTGGTATTGATGTTCCAGAGGAAACTAAAGGCAGATGTTAAACAAAACACCAAATTGATTCAAGCAGCAGTAAAGAGCAGCTAGTGTCTACAGTCTGCTGTTTAACAAACAAACCACACATATTTTGTCAAATACAATGGGATGTCATTTTCCACACTATGACTGCAGATCTATCCAAATGACAGAGTTGGTGTTCCTTTCAGCTAGCTGACCGGCAGTATGCAGCAACAGGTAGAGGAGGGCAGCACTATTACTTTCTGTTGCTGTTCATTTCAACACAGCTGTAGAAACTCTGGATTCTTATTAACCTTTTTCTTCTCACCTTGGAATACGGTGATACCAGAAATTGTACCTTACTTTGATCATTTTTACTTGGGATTAAAATGATTTAAATAAATAAATTAATTAAAAAGGTTAACATGGAAACAAAAGTTCACACACATGTATAGTAAGGTTTTAAATGGTATTAATCTTCAGCTCCAGATTTGGTCATTCGATATTACATTTTATTGCTTAGAATTGCTTTTCAGCACCTAACAAAGTTCTTTCATTGTTCTGTGATGGCTTCAGTCATGCCAAGTTTATTGGAGCCATTATTTTCTGCTCACATAGAAATAGGAAGGACACGGAAATAATGCAAACTTAAAGATCTGCATGAAAACTCTGATGGAAGTGGTTGCTTGGTAACTGGGACTCTGGATGGCTACAGCGCTCTGTATCGAAGGTTGTAAGAGAAAACCACAGCTATAAAAGGTATGAGTTAGGGAAAATGGTTGCAACGCCTTAAATCTTTTATACCAGTTTTCTATACGTCCTATATTCTACACCTAAATTCCTGATTGTTTTTTTTTTGTTTGTTTGTTTTTAACTATAAAAAACAGAACCCAATAAATGTACCTCAGGCTAAATAAAAAATATATTTGTTCCGAGTCCCTGGTTAACACACAAACTCACTCTTTACCTTTATGGCCGATGTCATATTGAACATCTAAGGTGAGTCTTTTTTTTTTTTTTTTAAACAAAAGGGGGGTTTATAGTAAGGGCGGAGCTGGGAAACAAATGTCTCATCACTGACTCACGTTCAGAGGAAATGGCGTCAACCCTCGTCCGCACTTGACCTCAGCTCAGCTGTGGTTGGCTGGTTTGTTGCTTAGCAATCATGACAAATGAATGAGTCACACAGACGGAATATGGGAGAGGTGAGTGCGTACTTTGGAGTGATCCAGTGTAGAAGACACCTAGTAGAAACGGATTGTCATGTAAACATTGGACAAAAGAAATATCTGTTCAATGCTGAGCCTCTTGCATGTTCCTGGTGTGGCCTTTTAGGTAATGCTGGATGAAAGATAAAAGGGGCAGAAGGACATCAGGACTATATCTGTGCAAATCCTTTTAATTAGTGCAAACTCATCTAGAAATGCAGATAAACATTGCTTTCATTTCCAAACGGTTAAATATTCTATCCTTCTGAGATGGTAGGAGGAGATTTCATTGACGAAAAACATGACTTAACTCTTCATGATGTCTTTAGGTGATGAGTTAATGCAATGTGCTTCATAATACCTCAACCAGCTGTTTCTGTTCCTCTCCTGCTCCCTTCTCCAGGTGGTAGGCAGTATGGACGCCCATCCCAGCAGATACTGTGCCACTGTGCGTGTCCAGAGACCCAGGCAGGAAATCATTGAAGATCTGTCTTACATGGTGCGAGAGCTGCTCATCCAGTTCTACAAGTCGACCCGCTTCAAGCCCACCAGGATTATTTTCTACAGGGACGGGGTTCCTGAGGGACAGTTGCCACAGGTATATTGTTAAAGAAAGGTTGGAAAAAAAGACTTCTTTTTATTATTTTTTTTTTTTGAAGGGATTGTTATCTAGATTGTTTTTTTGTTTTTTTTTCTTTTTGTTTTTTCCAAATTTCATGTAAAGTGCTAATTAAGTTAATGTTCTCCTCAGATTCTTCACTATGAGCTTCTGGCCATCAGAGACGCGTGCATAAAGCTGGAGAAGGATTACCAGCCTGGCATCACTTACATTGTGGTGCAGAAACGCCACCACACACGCCTCTTCTGTGCTGACAAATCTGAAAGGGTGAGCAAATCTTTATTGAAAATATGCTACTATTTAATTAGCTGTTTAGCGGTTATATATAATTATTAACTAATCTGACTTCATTCACAGATTGGGAAGAGTGGAAATATACCTGCAGGGACTACAGTGGACACCAGCATCACTCACCCCTTTGAGTTTGACTTTTACCTGTGCAGCCATGCAGGCATACAGGTCAGACTAACAGAAGTAGTTTAGGGCTGGTTTGGTTTTTTTTTTATTTCCGTAAACCACACTTGGAATGTTCCAGCGGGTTTACTGTCCTGTTTTTAAAGCACGCATTATTTCAATTGATTTTTCCACTTCTCTGTCTCAAGGGCACCAGCCGGCCGTCTCATTACTATGTCTTATGGGACGACAATCGTTTCACGGCAGATGAGTTGCAGATTCTGACCTACCAGTTGTGCCACACGTACGTCCGATGTACCCGCTCAGTCTCCATCCCTGCGCCGGCCTACTATGCTCGGCTTGTGGCCTTCCGTGCCCGCTACCATCTGGTGGACAAAGAACATGACAGGTTTGTGTGTGGTGCATTTGACCAGATTTCTTTTAGACGACAACCAAATTTAAAGAGATTTACTTCATCCTATATGTACTATATACTCCATCATTCACTAATCTGGTCATTTTATCTTAATGGAATGGTATTAGATAAAAATGCAATATAATAATATCAATAAAGTAATGATCCAAACTTTAATACTGTAGTTTAGTTACACAGAGATTTACATGAAGTGTTTTATTTTTGATGTTCTGATCATCTTGACTTGCAGCTAATAAAAACATTGCAATTTTACCCAAAATTAACCAGATAAAAAGAAATCCAGCTATGCCAACTAAAAGAATATGTCAATGAACTGAACAGCATTTGCACACAGTGCTAGGCCATCATTTTGCTTTCTGCACCATTTAAGCAGTCAGTCTGTGACCCTGCTGAGATCTAGGTTAGTGTTCATAGTAACCTTCACCTCGTCTGTATTTTTGACTGCCATTGCTAATTTCTCTTCATAGAATCTCTTTGCCAGTTAATGTGATGTGATGTGGTCAGGTGCCACTTCTTACTAGAGATCCCATCACTATATAGAAGCAACAAGTGCTTTACAATTTGCCAAAAGGCTTCTCTAACTCTGGATTTGATAAATCAGTGAGCCAGTACAGTATGTGAAATGGTTCCCTCCATCATTTCTGACATTGAAAACTTCACATTGGACTTAAAGCAACTTGGATGTTGTGCCTCTTTACTTTGCCTCCAGACTGTGGGAGCTTGATTTTCAAATTAAATGCAAATTTGAAGAGCAACCTACCCCCTTTCCTCCTATCAGTTTAAACTGACTCCAGCTTTAGTCAAGGCTTTGTGAATCTCCTATATAGTTGTAAATGGACTTTATATACTTTTATTGCTATTTTTTTTGTGTGTTTGTTCCTTGCCTTGCTACTGCACTGTAATTTCCAAGATTGGTATCAAAGTATATTCAATCCAATATCACAATCCTCTAAATACTACGGTTAGTGTGATTGAGTTTGCAGCTTTTTCTACCAATTCTTTACAGCCCTGTAAAGAGTGAGCTCTTTAGAAGTGACTTTTTTTTAAAGACGTCAGTGGCTTACTGCTGGAGAACTCTAAACACCGAAGTCAGTTTATATAATTATAACATTTATGAATGAGAAAATCTTTTAGGTTGGTCTAATGGGTTCTTTTAAAACTCTGAGAATCTTAAAGTTTTTATTTTATTTTTTATTAATTGTTAAGAATTTCCCCTTTTTCATTGTAGTGCTCATGTGATTTATTTATTCAGTGCATCTTCTTTCCTTTCTGTCACTTTACAGTGGAGAGGGCAGCCATGTATCTGGTCAGAGTAATGGCCGGGACCCCCAGGCACTGGCTAAAGCTGTTCAGATTCACCACGACACACTGAGGACCATGTACTTCGCCTGAGCTGCACCAGCCATCTTCACCGTCGTTCCTTTTCCTCATTTCTACCAGAGCGGGCAGAAAACCCACTCCCACCTCATCCCCATCCCTTACTCCCAACAATTACCCACTACACACACTCCACAGAGCTGCCAGCCAGTCTGCTTCTATCCAAAAAAAAAAAAACACAACCCCCTCCTGTAAACACAGGCTGACACTGCAGCCTCATGCACTCAAACGGTTTTGAATATTATTGTTATTTTGTTGTTTTTACTTTATCAGGATGGTTTTAGGACTCTTTTATGTTGGATTTTTAAAAAGTGAATATTATGTAATTGTATTTTATGCTACCTTCCCACTCCTGTTCATGTAAGTATGCAATAGGGACAGGAGAAAAAATAGGCGCTAGATAGGAGAAGGGAAATATCGTAAACATTTTTTTGTCTTTTGTTTTTAACTGCCGCCAGAACGCTGCCTCTACCCATCCTAAAACCAGATGCCAGTGTTCCAATCCCCTTATATTGGGGATCCTCCATTTGGGCGGTACTGAACACGCACACTTACATGTATCATTTCTAATTACTACATGACTTACATTCTTGTTTTCTTTTTATGATGGTATATTTTGTTGTTTTTTATGTTAAGCAGCCTTGACGAGTCTGAGATATGGTACATTAGCACTTAGTGTTAGCCTGTAGGTGCCACCATGCCTGCACATAAAGAGTTTTAGTCATTTGCTAGTCCTCCGCTATTGGGATTAGCAGCGACAGAAGGAGCAGTATAGATGCAGGAGAGATGTGCTGTTGCACTCTTAGTCCTGATTGGCCAGTCCCTTAGAGATTTAGCCTATAGACGCCAGCCTAGTATAACACTAGAGGGACCATTTGCATAGAGTGTATCAGATATACTTGCACCCCATGCACCTAAACCAGCATTATTAACCAGCCAAAAGTGATGCCAACCAATGAAAAAGGGGCACTTAAACAGGAAGATAATCTATTATTTCTGTATCCATTGCTCTTTTAGGATTTATGAGGCACTTTTTTTGTTTATGTTCTAACTAACTTTACAAAAGGATGAGCTTGAATACTCGAATGGCCCACTTTAAACTCCCACACTTCCATTGTTTTCAGAACAAAGGCAACATGCAAAGTTAACACACTATCTTGGACATTTGAAAGCAAGAGAGCAAATGGATCAGCCGTGTTTCAGAGCTGAACATGCTTTCAGCTCTGATCGTTCTGCACATAATCATTCCTACTAGTATTGTTTGCAGTGACGCCACAGTGCATTCTAACTCTCTGACTCTCAGCATTCTTATCATACCTTACACTCCTATCTTCCATACGTCCTGCTCTTCCATCTGCAGGCATTAACATATCAGCCTGGAAAACAAAAAGCACACCCATCAGGCTCCTGGTCTCTGTCTTGGCCTGTAGAGAAAAACGAAGCCGAATGCACTTGTCTCGTGTCCCATTCAGGCCAAACTATCACTCATCAGCATTTTTTGTCACTACTGTTTTTCCACATTATAGACCTTCAGCGTCCTCTGCCCTAATCCCCTAGTCTGTGTTTGCCAAATTTCTATTGGTGCTCTGTGTGCATGGGCGGCACAGATAGGGAATTGCTCATTGGACAGGGTGGGCCCCTATTACTACTACTTTATATGCCCTGCCTTTACATCATGTAACTCTCTGGATATATGGGAAAAATGCATGTATCTTTTTATTTTTGACTGGATATTCTGAGCCACCTTACTATGGTTTTCTTAGAGGTAGGAGCCTTGGGCTCACCACTGCCTGTCAATTATTTTGCCTCAATTGTGTAATGGTTATAGACTATTTTTTTGTCATGAATATTGTGACTATTGTCAAAGGTTCCTCAAGAGGGCACTGTGGAGAAGGTCTCGCAATTCCTCTTCTGTTGTCCTTAAAACGCCTCAAATCTTGTCTGATGGTCAGAGGCCCCTAATGTCGAAAGGGAATCCGGGAAAAGAGATCAGACAAGTTTGATTTCAAAATCATATTTATGGACTTGCCTAATCAGAATGCCTTTGTACACCGTTTTTCTGATCCTTCATTGTGTCCAAGGTGATTTGTATATATAAATAGATAATATTTACATGTTATATTTTGGCCCAACACACACGAGGCCTTTTAACACTTGAGGCCAGTGTTTTACTGCTTGTTCTGTATTGGAAAAAATACCAGTCTGGGGATATTTCCTGGTCACTATTAAAATCAGATGCAGTTCTTTACTTACTGAAGCCACAAAAGCACCTTGCAAAGGGGAGACACAAAAAATTCAGTCACCCTAGAAATGTATCGTGGACACAGGAGAGTCCATTCCTCTCCAAACAGCCTCACGGTCTGACAAAGCAATATAGAAGCCACTGATCAAGAACAGTCCTTCTCATAGCACTTCCCAATAGATATGAATGAAATGACATGGAAGCATATTATTTGGCTCTGTGTGTGATAGTATCGCAACTCTGTTGGGGAGGGTTATTTTTTAATGGAAATAAAATTTGTTTTTTTAATTTTTTTGTGGTTTTCTGTCTTAATTTTAGACTGATTTATTGTCAAATTGTTTTCTCAGAATGGATTCGCTCAGCAATTTATTAGAAAGGCAACAGGTGCCTTAAAACGAAGTAGATAGCTGTACTCACTTTGGACTTGATGCTGTAGTCCAACACCGGGCAACGCTCTTCTATAGACTCTTTAAATATTGTTTTCTTCATGAACTACAGAATTAAGAGAAGTTTTCAATTTAATTTAGTTTATTTATATAGCGCCAATTCACAAGACATCATCTCAAGGCACTTTACAGTTCACCAGATCATACAGTCAGGTTGATTCAAAGTTTTCTAAGGAAAACCAGTTGATTGCATCGACTCATTGACTCGAATGCAATCCCTTACACTAAGCATGCCTGTAGTGACCGTGGAGAGGAAAAACTCCCTTTTAACAGGAAGAAACCTCAAGCAGAACCAGGCTCAGTGTGAGCGGCCATCTGCCGAGGCCAACTGCGGTTCAAGGAGACAGAAGCAGTGATACAAAAAGCAACTGTAAAAGGCGGCCCTGTCCAGGAAACACACAGCCAGGCAGACGAGCCAACCCACATGCCAGAGGACGAAGAAAGCACATCCAGCCAGTCACAGTCAAAGAAACAGGACTACACCAGAAAAACATGAACAGATGAGGCAAATTTACAATGAAAAAAAGCAGAGAACATAACGTTAGAGATTGAACTAATAGATTCTGAAGAGTGGGAGAATAGAGATAGAATGATGAAAAAGGGGTCCCTATGTTCTCCAGAAGTCTAAGCCTATAGCAGCATAACTATAGAGATAGCTCAGGACAACATGAGCCACTATAACTATAAGCTATAATGTATTAAAAAAATCAGATCTTTACATTAGGGCTTTAAAGTATCTGCTCAATCCATTATTCACTGCTTGTTTATTATATTGAAGGGGATTTGCTTTACAATCTTTCAAAGCTTTAACTATAACTTTAAATAAATCCTTATAATTACATTTGAAAAAAAATGCACATTTAAAAACTAATCTTTTTTTCTTGAACAAAAGACATTGATTTACATTTTAAAGTAGGAATCTCCACTCTTCTTTCTTACAAAAAATAAAATAAAATAACAGTTATATTTAAAAAGTAATCTGATGTATTCAGAAACGTGGGGTTTCCTCGCGCTGAAGGCGGGGCCGGATTGTGACGTGAGCCCTCCTCTTCCTGTCGGTGTCAGAGAGCCAACTTCACCATATTTAGCTGCTCGCCGAAGCCTCTCGGAGTTCTCCTGTCAACCAGCCTGGGAATCCTGACGCTCATCGGCGAACACACCGCGGGACTGACAGCCGACTTTTACAGCTTGGACACAACTTACTGACGTCAGCGGAAGACGGAGCACGGCGAAAAGCGACCTGCCTGAAACAGCTGTTTTAATGGGATAAAAAAAAGTGTACGTCGCCTGTCAGAATTCCAACTATCAGCCGTGCTAGCCTGCTAGCTGCTTATTTTAGCTGGTCAAACGGCTCCCTTTCCCCGTTGTCAAAATATTTATGTCATCTCTACGGACCGCCATACATCGGCAGGGATTTATGTGGACTTCATGACCCCGCTGTGATGATCTCCTGACAGCTCCTCTCTTCCCTTCCAACCACTTTATACGAAAGCCAGGCTAGCGAGCTGACTGGGCTAACTAGCTCACAGCAGCCAGTAGCTTTAGCCTTGGCAGCGGAGTATCAGTTTATCTGTCGACGTGCGAAAAAAGGTGGTTTGTGGAGAAAAAACGAAAAGTATCGGCTGGTGAAACGTCCATAGAGGAAGGAAGGGAGGGTTGCCTTTTCAAAGTAGGAGAGGAGGGGGTGTCTGGTGGGTGGGTGTGCTTAGGACACGCTGTTTCACAGCGGAGGCAGAGGAGCTGCACTCCCGAAGGAGACACCGGACTGAACGGAGGAGTCCCCAACGTTTGACATCTGTGATCCGGGAAGCGAACCGGGCAGAGACCTCATGAATGGAAATCGGAACTACAGGTAATAAAGCCTGCATTTTATATGTTCTCAATCGGTTCACAGATGGGTTACAGGTGATAGATCCGCGAAACCATGGCAGGTTTCTGAATATATCATCGCCAAGACATGACTGGGAGTAAGAGGAAATATTAGTCATGTTTAGGTTTCAGGGGTAAATTTTACAGCGAATTTCGTTGGTTGTACTGAGGAGATGGTTCTGTTCCATTTCCATCATCAGTCAGGTGTGGGCTTCAATGCTGGTCATCTCTGAACATGTGACCCCGGCTGAACTCTGACCTCTACATATTTAGCCTGTCCCTTTAAGCCCAACATCTGTAATATGGTACACATACTTGGTGCCCAGAATTTAGTGAACAGATCTAAAGTGAGGTTCAGACTCTGGTAAAAGGTCAATATCTGAGGTAAATAAGACAAAAAAACAAAGTGAAAAACAGACAGTAAAACAACTTGAATGATGCCCACAACATTAATTTCAGGCAGCTGAAGTTGTTTTGTTGCTCAAATTATTGGTTTATTTCTGTCCTATACTTTTACATGGAAATCAAAGGAAAAAATGTGACCTTAAATAACCCCCCCTTTTTTTTTTGGCAAAAAAATCTTCAACTGATTACCTTTGATTTAAAATGTTACCTTTTTTTAATGGAAATTAATTAAAGTTATTTTATGTATAGCAATCCATATATTCTATAATAAGCACCATGGGATATTGTCATAAATGTAATTGTTTTTAAAACACTCCTTTTAGGTAAAACAAGACACTTTAGTCCAACTAAAACATAAATAATAGCCCCAGGCTGTGACTTTAGCAGGAATAGATGCAAATTTGGAGCAAATTATATCCTTTATTTATTTTAAATTTATATCATTTACTGATTTTGAGTTTAGATAATTTCTAACAACCAGAAATGTAAGATCAAAATGGACTAATGCCAGTTAAAAAATGTATCTTATTTTTAAAAATAACATAAAATTAAATTGTCTAGAGGTGTTTTAAATGAAATTTCTTTTTGTTTACACCCCTGTATACAAAATGAGGAAATAAATCTGTCTAAGTTTAATTATTTTTGGTATTGTTATCTTATGGGGGTGAATCCATCATATCAGAGCTTATACAAAGCTTGGATCAAATAAAATGTAACTGCTTTAGCTCATTTATTAACTGGTTACAAATTACCATTACATTTCTTTGACATTTGCTGACTATTCCTTTAACCTTTGTTAAAGATAAATTGAAATATTCTCAGCCTTTCATTGCTTCTATTAATTTCTAAATCTTATTTCTAAATGTGTTTAGATCATTTCTTTTTTTGCGTCCCCCCTCCTCCTCCACATTGATCCCAGTGGCAGTTAAACAGCCTTGAACCACCTGTCTTTGTCTCCATTGTAACGGAAGCTTTCCTCTTAGGTGACCATAAACTCAATGCCTGGTTCTCTTGATTAGTCACTGATACATGATACTGAAGTTGGTCCGTTGCCCGCTCCCACCTCATTCAAGTGGAGATCCTCCACGCCGCCTATTCTCCTCCTCCTTCATTTTCCCAGCCTTAATGGCAAATGGGACTGCAGGGTGTTTTCCCACCATCATGTAGAGACAGAAAAAATAGCTTTAGGGTTAATATGGCATCTTATATTGCAGTTTATTTGTTTGTGTATAAATATTTTTTTCTTTTAATCCAACTACTGACAAGCATATAAATCTTGCAAGTCTACTTGAAAATGATTGTTTGGGAAAATAAAATCCAATATCCTTAGTAACTCCTGCTATCGTAGTTTAGTAGCCCAGCTCCTAAATCAGCACGGCTGCCAGGAGTGGATGTGTTTGCTCAGGGCTCTCTGAGAACACAGCACATGGAGTTCCATAGAACACGCTGCTATCTGGCTTTATATAGTGTGTTAAAAGTCTTGATGCTTTCACTTTGAAATACATTAGTGCATTAGTAGAGATTAGAGCTGCTGCTCTATCTTTTCTAGTCTGTCTTGATAAATTGTGTTCCTGTTGTTGATTGGCAACCCTGCATCGCTGCGTTGTACTTGCTGACTTCGGAGACCTGTGCTTGGGTGAATGATTAAAAGGGGCCCCTCCATTGGTCAGTCTGTGGCCGAAAGAGAGAGCGGTGTGAGAAAATGCTAATTGATCACTTAGCCTGTTTCCTCTTTTGCCTTGGCATGGGTCTGACCAGACCATGGGAATCGTCGCACTCAAGAGCTTAGTACCAAGGTCAATAGAAATGAAAGGTGCTTTAGAAAGTGAATTGCATTTAACAGTATGCCTATACATGGCATGTCAGCTGGTGAGCATCATTTTGTGATCATGGCATGAAGAAGAGGAAAATGTAGGTCCATTGTTAAAGTCCTCACTCACATTTAATGCGCTAGATGGATGTTTTGGATATATATCGGAAGCTGGTTTTATTCATCAAATCGTTTTGCTTTTTTTTAATCTCCAACTGATTACAAAACAATGTAATCTACAAAAAAATGATATGCTATAATA